GATGATAACAACCGGGATTGTAATAAATGACATAAATAAGTATAAAATATAATAAATAATAAATAGGAATGATCGTATATAATGGATATAAAATAAAAGTGTATTGAAAAAATGCAAATGTACATAATAAATCCACGGTCTCAGAGATAACAAGTAAAGCATAAATACAAGCATAATATCAAATAATAATTATAGTTTAAATGATTTAAAGGAAACATTGAGTCCACGAGGAGCTAAAGTACCGAGACGATGGATAATGCGTTCCTCAGTGTTTTTCCTGACATGATCGGATCCGTGGCATAAAGTGATACCAGTTATTTTGATGTCATCCGGACTATGGTTGGTGGAGAAATGTTCAGCTACAGGGAGGCCAGGTTGTCTCAGTCTTATAGACCTGAGGTGTTCCGTGAATCTGTCTGCCATACGACGCTTAGTTTCACCAATGTAGATGACATCACATTTAGTGCATAAAATGGCATACACCAAGTTGACAGATATGCATGAAAATTTATCTGTAATAATATGGTTTCCAGAAGGTCCGTTGATGAATTCCATGTCTGCTGTAAAAGACCACGCTGTAAAACTTACGCCCACGTCAAATCCATCCATGCTTTACTTGTTATCTCTGAGACCGTGGATTTATTATGTACATTTGCGTTTTTTCAATACACTTTTATTTTATATCCATTATATACGATCATTCCTCTTTATTATATTTTATATTTATTTATGTCATTTATTACAATCCCGGTTGTTATCATCTTGGTTTATATTTTTATTTTTTGGCGCCATATTTTATAGCACCTCTCAACTCAGATTGGTTGGCTTTTTTCACTACGCCCTTAAGGTATTGTTTAGCTTGTATATCAACGCTTTCCCATGATGCTGCATACTGCATCCGCATTCTATTTATTTATACAGTAGAACCTCGATTTCACGTACGGTACGGGACCGAAGGACGTACGTAAATCGGGGGATTCGTAAAATAGAGGTTTGGTTAAATTTGTGGTAACCTTTGACCTAATATGTACGTAACGCTCAATAAACGTATGTAGGAACGAACGATGTTACCTAGGCTAGACCTAGCCTCTAGGCCTACACCTAGTCTCTAGGCCTACAAATAAAACCATGTGTTTAGTGTCTTTATTCATCACTTTACGATGTCATAATAAAGTGTTCAAATAAAACCATGTGTCTAGTGTATTAATTCATCACTTTATATCTTTTATTTAACTAAAGAACATGAAAATATTGTAAGATTACCTATACGACAGAGGTAAAACTTGGGAATTCCCCTTCATGCCTATTCTAAACAACAGAGCTCTGGTGTTGTCTGGGCCAGTTGAGACAAACTAAAACCATGTGCGCTGCACTGGGCAAGCCAACCAATTAGCGTTCGTGTACGTGAAACAGCAAACACGTGCTATGCACTGGGCGAGCCAACCAATTAGCGTTCTTGTACGAAACTATGTCTACTCAGCTTCGTGTAGAAAATTCGACCAGACAAGTTTTTCCACGGTTTGCCACACGAAGCTAAGGAGGAAAGCAATAATTTTGAGCACCATCGGTAGTTGTTCATCTCACTCAGTTCACATGGTTTTAGATTATAACAACCGAATATTAGACTCAATCAACGTCGTTGTTTAATGAAAATATAATATGCATTATGGTTTGTTTATTGTTATAGTTTATTGTTATAGTCTTTTTACTTATGGTTGCTCTGAAAATGGCCATTTGTTTTGAATATTTTCGGGGTTTTTGATGACTTCATCGTCAATACGAGGCGTACGTAAAACCGAGGGTTCGTATAACTGGGGTACGTAAAAACGAGGTTCTACTGTACTCGTATTCATTTTTATCTGTACGTATACCTGATGAAGGGCAATGCCCGAAAACGTTCGTGTACTCAATAAATTACATTTGGCAATACTAGACACCTCTTCTGAAGTTTTTATTTTTATATATATGTTTGCCGATGCAGCTTTTAAGTTTTATGTATATTTATATATATTTATACGGTGAATCATATTAAAAAACGGTATTTTGTTTCATTTGTTTTAATAGTACAACTGCAGCTGCTACAGTAAGGAGTGCCATTAGACGTCTGAAGGAAATCAAGGAATTGTAAATTAATATTACTGTTGGATCGGCTTTATCTTTATTATTTACCTGACCTCAAAGAACTATAAACAACATGTTTTGAAAGAACAGTGCCATGACTAATAAATGTGAACAAACCACAAAACAGCGACTAATATTGGCATTCAGTGTTCATCTGTTCAGTCTTGTATGTATGCATATATTGGAGCTTTATGTGTCACATTTTTGAAGTGCAGCACTCAGAAATCACAAGCATTAGGAGAAATATGATAATACGGTATTTAATAGGTACAATATAGTATAGCAGAAAATATAACTAAATATTGATTCAGAATGTAACATACACATTAGCGTAAAATACATCAAAAATTTGTGACTAATTTTAACTGTGAATATAAAGTTTTCGCATTCCTTAACATCCTGGCTGGAAAAAGAATTCATGATTATCCCAGGACAACTTAAGTGATGGCGTAACTAATTCCATGTAAAGAAATCCATATTCCTCAGGATAATAGCCACATAGAGATTCTTTCTTTGTTATTGCAGTACTTACAGTAAATAACACTTTTTGTGCACCCGTTTTCAGGGAGAGAAACGTCTACAGTATCAATCAATATTCAACTAAAACATCTAAATTGAGTCAGTTGTGCATAGGCAAGACTTTTATACCACTTTCGCAAAATTTGAAATTAAAATTTCCGACAACCTGGCAACTACCACTGGGAGACATTCAGAGGCCTAGCATTTTGCTCTAGCATGGTTACCATCATGGATTAAATCAACGATGAAACCAATTTCCGAGTACAAACACAAAATGTTTACATATACAGTAATTAGCAAGATCTGTTGTCTATCCGCTGCGTGGTGCTCTATTTGTAACTAGCCAGTTACAAATAGAAGTTCCCCAGTGAGTTGCGAGATATTAGCGGCGCTGTTTCAAAATAAATCCCATGAAATGGTCTATATTTTCCAATATTACTAAAGTAAAAAAAAAAAAACTGTCCACAGCATTCTGTGTTATTACACTGTATTATTGCAACAAACTACTTGCAATACAAATCGATATACTGTAAAATACAGTCCACTAATTCCATCATGGAGGCCACCAAGAAAGGCATTGCGAATTAAAATATCTCCCAGGCTCAGAAGATGTAACTCCAAGTAAGCTTACCAATTCAAAATCCTGGTCTTGGGTGATATGTGGTGATTTTTAACTACTTTAGCATTGTTTTTGCTTAGAAAATAACTTGTCTACCAAATTCCTTGTAGAGTTTTGGTGTACAACCAAAGTTTCAAATACTGTACTATGCGAAAGGTGCATGCAGTCATTCTCGTTTTATCATAAATTATTTCAGGTATAGTCTTGATATTTTATCACTTTTCTATCTAAAATATAGAAACTGATATTAACAAGGCACAGAAAAATTGTTTGCTTACAAATACATACAAAGCAAGTTTGGTATGCTACCATGCACACAAAGCATGTACAGTATAGTATACTCCAATGCATACAAAGCATTTGTGCTACTAATTCATTTGTATAACGGGTGTGTTTCTACTGAAAATCAATGAGTTCTGTTATCATTGATTGGTAAAACAAGATAATTGCTGCTTTGCAACATTTAATTTCTGTGGCTGGTACTGCAAGACGTGCCAACATTCCCGATTTGTGATGTCGGACGACTGAAAATTGTCTCCCAAATTATAAGAAAGGGAAGTGTAGGTAAATTGGACATTAAAATTGCCACATTTAATTGGCAAGTATTATTGGTTCATTAGAAACACATCGTTTGTGTGAACAAATGCATATGAACATGTTACATTATAACAAATCTCTACAGAGAAATTCTGAATAATTTTGGCAGTTAAATAATAGAACCAATTGACAGCAAAACCCCCAAACAAAAATGTGAGCTTTAAATGCTATTCTACACTTTTGATTGAGGAAAAAGTTTTTCTTATAGTTTATAATTATGGTATATAATCCAACCTGATTCAGACTGGTTAAAGAACAATTGCTTGGTGGTTTACTTCTTACCAAGGAGTTTTGAAAAGAACCCTCCAAAAAAGTTCTCTCGTTCACCTTTCTCCATTTCCTGTTTGTCTTGTTTGTAACCTGTGTTTGCTAAATCTGACGTGTCTAGCACCTCGAATTCACCAAGATCCGAGTCGGAACCAGACGGCGCTCTAACACGCGTTGCTCTTGCTCTTTGACTTTCATATTGCACGTTTGAGGTAGAGGTATCAGAACTTGCAGATGGCTGACCCCTGGCCATCGCATTGATTGTACCAGACACAACAGATGCAACCGTATCCGTAATGTACTGTGTGGCGATTGTCGGAAGTAACCCAGTATTGGTTGAAATTGCTGGATTTGTTTGACTAGGGTTAAAATGATTTTCATGTCCATCCTCATTTTGAAAGTGTGATTCCACACATGGCATTGGTGCACTAGGATCATCAGCAACTTGGTGCTCTTCCTGTATGTAATGTTGCCTTCGAGGTGCCTCTGGTATCACTGGTCCAAAAATTTCATTGTCTATCTCATCATTGCTATGATCTAAAGTCCCATCATCAAAAGCTGGGAAGGATGGAAGGCCTACAGCAAAACTTGGTTCAGAATCCTGAATATCTGTAATTAAAATAATAATAGCATCAATTATGGGTTTATGATCATACAATTAAAAAACAAAATATGGTACAGCGGGCAGTGGTAAACACTGTGTCTACACTAAACCACACTTCAGAAAGATAATTTATAATATTGGATACTTATGTACAGTACAATCAAATGAAGGCCCCTTCATACCACTGGAAATGTACAGCACAACACAAAAAAATTGTTTTCAAAAGGTATTATTGAATGGTCGTGATAGCTCTAGATTCCAGTTTAGCAATAATTGAATTCTACTAGAGTTTCTTAGTTCTTAGGTTGGGGAGGAGTGGAGAGGGGCAGTTTAATTGAAAAAAAAAAAAAGGAACAGCCCGAGGCGCTTATTCGAGGGTGGAGTTTATTTCAAATAACATGTGAAAACAATGTAAAACATACCATCATCAAAGCGATCTAGGGTGACTGAGGGACTGCGCGACTTTCTTTCCTCTTCAGAGAGTTCAGAATCAGGGTCAGAGACAGCACGTGCCAAGGCAGCTACCGTAGCAGCATCTTGTGGAGGACAGAACTCAGTTAGGTCACTATCACTATCCGAGTCGATATCATCAGCTCCGTCAACATGGTCACTAGCTTGGCTTCTATCAGATCTCTGTCTTCTTCCTGTTGCATTTATAAACATATATTTAATATTCTTTAATTCTCATAAATGGCAGAACTTCTTCATTCTAATACTGTATTATTTTTGAAATTATATATATGGTTTGGAGGAATCCTCCAATTAAAAGATAATTCATAATGATCTAACATTTTATATTAAAAAGTATTGTATAATACAGTATATAATATACAAACACTAAATAGTTATCCTACTTCTGTGGCTACTCTTTTTGTGGTTGTTCTTCATACTGTACTCCAACTGCATCCAAATAGGCTCCAAAGTGTTGTAAACTTTCTTGTTGAAGTTGTGGTACTCGGCACACGGCCACAACAGTAGGCTCATAACTAGTATCAAATATTTACATTGAGTTTAGGAGAAATATACTTGCATTTTCATTCATTGTTTATTCAGTCAATTACATAAACAAGTGAATACAAAACAAAAATAAAATTTATCAAATATCAGCTATGTCAACCTCCTGGGATGTCATCACCATCATAATCTTTTTCAATGTAGTCATCAGCATCACCCTTAACACACTCATCATCATCAGTATCATGCTGTTGTCATTGGCTCCATCATCGATTTTATTGTTACCATCCCCATCATCCCCTTTTGTAGATAGCATCATCTTTATTATTACAGAACAATTATCGATTTCATTGTCACCATCACACCTTTCGTAGATAGCATCATCTTTATTATTACAGAACAATTCTTTAAAAAAAAAAACAAACATCTAAACTTACTTATGATGTACGAAAGCATAACACCCGATATGCAGCGACCAATCACAGCAAGACCAGCACAGGTGCCACTAACAACAGCGCAGAACTTTAAAAAAAGCAAACAAGAAGTAATATTAATACTGTATTGATGTAAAAAAATGTGATTAAAACTTATTTGTAGAATGAACTTGTAAAATGTAAAAGAATGTTGTAGTGATTGACTGACAGTACAGCATACCTTTCCAGGGTCAGTGTTCCGTAGATTCCAGAAGGCATCATGGTATTCATTGAAAGCTACCCACAATTCAGCAAGGTGACGGCATAGCTCAGGCACGCTCAACAAACGTGTGTGTACAGGAGTCCATCTGTAAGAACACAAACTTTGCCTTAGACTAGTATTTTATCATAACTTATATATTATTTTCAACAACAACAAAAATTCTTTATTTTGTAAAAAACAAATTTATATACAAGAACAAAAGCAAGACAAAAAAGGAACCCTCTTAAAGCCCAAAGGGGCCTTTTACAAAATAGAGAGACAAAATGAGGCAGGTACAATAAAGCCATAATTACAGATAAATTACAAATAATAACAAGAAACAATAACACCCACTTAAACTAACCTACAAGTTCAGAAGTAAAAAGATATCAATGCAAAAAAAAAAAAGTTAAATAAAATATAAAAAGTAAAATACTGTAAATGCAAATAAAAGAAAAAAGAGTCAAAACTTTGACAAGGAAATGAAGTACTGGTACTCAGCAAAAACAAGCATTGTAACTGTCAATAAATAATGAGGTATATTTCTTTTTAAATAGCTGATTACTGAAACACTTGACCTATAGGAAACCCCCCTTCCCATGAACCTGTTTATAGGCCTGCAAACAAAGCTCACAATGTTTATGCTTTCAACAGGTCGTCAGACTAAAAATATCGACTTATTGTGATTGCCAATCCCTAATATTGTGGTCAAAATATTTGTACCCCACTATTGGACTTGTTGGACACACGTATGTCAAATTTTTGGAGCCATCACTGATTATGCAGGACTTAAAATTTCCTACATTTGAGGGGAAATACTTCAAGAAAATTTAGTAATAAAAAATTGTATAATGCAGTACTTCTTCAGACTCCAATTGTTTGTCACAAAAACATTAGATGAAATCTGGTTTCAATGTTTCAAATTTCAAAGTCTATAAAAACATAAGAATAGAAACGCGGCGATTGCATGCTATTAGATTTGAATTATCAGCATGATGCCTGGCATGAATAAGACCCCAAGTACCTATTCTAATGTAGTTTTTATACTTAGCAGATACATTGACAACAGATAGTAACGAGTAATATCCGAAATGATGATTATTTTGCTAACGCAGACATTACCATGGAATAATCCCCATTTTTATATTGTACATGTTTCACTCGATACAACTTGCCACTGTACTTTTACTTTGCCAAAATAAATATTATTTTTTATTAATAGTGTGAATTAAAAGTATATGAGTGGGTGTTAGAGTCATAGGCTTTTTCAAGGTGATTATATGAAAATAATCTATGTGGGTGTACAAGGTGTGTGATTGGATAGCAAATCAAAATATGTTTATCCTTTGATATGTTAAGTAGAGCAAAGAGAATATGGAGTGCTATGGAAATCCAACCAGCCATCTCCACTGAGCCAAACCACACTGTAGTAGTTGGCAATAACTGCTCCCAGCACAAGTACTAAATTAAAGGTAGAGTCAAAACCGAAAATATGAGCTCCGAGGCCAGAACGGCAATCTCCCCTTTCATGCTTTATGAACTAACTCAAATAAGAACAAATATTTTTTAGCCATGAGAAAAAATCCTTTGCTGCCACACGACTTGAACCCATACAAAGGGAATGACAAGACAAGCACCAAGCTATTCCTCCACTGCACTACTGTACATGTTTAATACTAAAATCATTATTCTCAACATGCAGCAGATATCTTACCCTTCTTCATCCTCAGGTTCTTTTGGTTCAACTGCAAAAATATATTAAAATTATATTTGAAAAATAATGTAATATAGATATTCTCTTCTATAATGTCTTTAAAAATAAATTTATTATCATGAATCTTTAAATACTTTTGTTCAATATTTTTATATAAAATGAGTTCATATGTTGCCTTTTTGAAAGCTAAAACAAATGCCAACTATTACAGAAAAAAAGACTGATTAAGAAGACTAATATTAAACAAGAAAGTTCACTCTCCAATTTGAGACCACATTTGGAAACTGAAAATTTTGGGTGGTCTTAGGATTCGTTCCCGAATCAGAGGTTAGCTTTGTATTACAATATTTAAAATTGTTTTTTCGCTTTTAAATAAGTGGGATGCTTCTTTGAAGGCATTTGGTGGCATACTCACCTCTTATCTCAGGCCAGATTCGGTTACAAAAAGCCTCGAACGTCATGATAACAATAGCAGTTACAGCCATCAGGTAAACTACACGATTACTAGTACTTGTCAGTAGCCTGTTCATACAAAATTAATATAAATGTAAAATAAACAAACCAAGCACATTTTAGATCTTTTTAAAATTTAAGAGGTACATAGGAATTTGCTTGAAAATGCACTTTTACAAAAAAACCCACCACACCATATTCTTCGGACACAATGGAGATTCTTTTGAATGATTTGAACATACTGAAAAAATGAACAATACATAAATTGAACTTTTCATACTCATTACAGTATTAGTTATTTCAAAATTAAATAGAAAAGAATATTTTTGAAAATTAGGTGACAGATGATGTAAGGATTTTCATACTGTAGTACTGTACTATTTTATAAATCAGCATGACAACCTAATAAATATCTCACTGATATTTAATCTTTGATTTTATTTTATTGGTATCTACATTCAATATACAACAGTTTTTAACACAATAGATTATGTTTTCATAAGCTGGTTTTTTTTTGTGTGTCTTCGGACACAATTTTTGTGTCTTCGGACACAATAGAGATTCTTTTGAATGATTTGAACATCCTGAAAAAATGAACAATACATAAATTGAACTGTTCATACCTATTATTAGTTATTTCAAAAATGAATAGAAAAGAATATTTTTGAAAATTGGGTGACAGATGATGTAAGGATTTTCATACTGTAGTACTGTACTATTTTATAAATCAGCACGATAACCTAATAAATATCTCACTGATATTTGATCTTTGATTTTATTTTTATAACAGTTTTTAACACAATAAATTATGTTTTCATAAGCTGGTTTTTAAAACAGATATCAGAACAACATTTTTTTTAAAGTGCAAGTTCAAAGTAAAATGAATCATACTCTATGGAGAGCCTATAATTTAGTGTTTCCTGGGTGGGATCATTTCAAATGTATGATTAATGGTGTTAAAATGCACTAAACATTAAAAAAAAAGATTAAATACTGAACTATAGAAAAATAGTCTTAAATACTGAGTACACTTCAGCATCTTTCAAAAACATCTGTAGACTGAATGATATTGACAAAATTACTATTTTTACTGGACATTAGGCTATACAGAAACTGGGTTACTACTAGCTTGGTAGAGAAACCATGTTAAATAAATCATCAATCAAAAAGTTTTGCACTTTTTTCAAATTAAATAAAACAAGCTTTTCTTTCTGGAATCTTCCCTTTCCTTCCTCTAATTTTTAAAAATTTTACTGTCAATGAGTCTTGGGTTTACTTTCCGTTGGGACAATTTTTTACAGATTACAATTATTAATAATTTTATTGAAAATTGAGATAAATCCCCACTGTGTTAGCATCCACATGTTTCTTTGTATATCTGTCAACATTTTTGAATGTTTAAATTAATCAAGGGTAACTGAAATTTATGTACCTTCTCATACATTTCTCAAGTACTGTATGGATTTATTTTGCAGTTAATTTTTAACTTCTGGTTGTCACAATCCAATAGCAAGTATACTTGCCAACAGGATGCTATATAAACCACGTCAGAGGCCTAGTTACTTAGTTATTGTCCCACTTAGTTGTGAAAGTAATCTGGTTAGAGAGTTCAAAGTTCAAAGAGAAGACTTATGGGATATACCATGGAATCATACAGATAGAAATTAAAAACAGTCTCCCAAACATAAATCAAGTCTCCACATAGAAAGTACCTCTTAAAAATAAAAAAAAAACAAAAAAAAAAAACAGTCAGACAGTAGACATTAATGTTATTTGTTATTCACTTGAAGATTAATTTAAAAATGGCTTCATTTAGTTACCAAGAATTTAGGTAAAATTTCAAGTATTTCAGTCATGTCACATTGAAAATTCATAGCATTGGTCGGAAGCATTCAAACAAGCTGAAAATTACTCTCATTGGTAGTTGCTGTCTACAATAAATTAATTTGTACACAATGTGTGCTGTAGTCATGATGGTCATACAGAAAGCCATAAGTAATCCATCCATTTTAAATTTTGCCAGTGTATAGAAATACTGTAAAGCATTATTGAATTCAAGTTTTGAAATTTAATTTTAACTTTTAGAATCACAAACTATGAAAACTGGTTTTTGATTGAAGCATTGCCATTACTATAGTATACATGACATTTAATAGGCCCATTTTAAAATTCCTAATATACCAAATAATATAATGTTGAAACTAAAGTCATCGTTACATTAAAAAGCAATATCAAGAATGAAATCATAAATGTGTCATATTTTTATTTAATATGCATGCATCATCAGTGCTTTTAGTTTTATTTATAGCACGAATCTCCATATAATAGACACATTTTTGTACAGTAAAAGTTTAGCTCCATCCATGACTACTAAAGCAGGATATATAATAGGCTTAGACTAGTAGGCTAGTATTTGTAAAGTGGTTGAGAGTAAGTAGGCTAGACCTACTAACTGGGTCTAGGCCTACTGCAAGTCGCATCTGTAGAGCTACCTCCTACTTTCAAAGAGAAGACTTACGTACCAGAACAGACCGTTTACACCCAGAAACATCATTGCACTCTGTTGAGGATTTTCCCATACGAGAATGCTCTGCAGTCGCATAATTGTACTTTCAAATTGGTTAAATATGCTTATAAGTCTCTTCTCCTTTACACTAACTTCTAAACTTCTTTCCATTTCCATCTCTTCAGCTTCAGAGCGCTCTATAAAGAGACACCCCTTTTACTTTAAAATGTTATGATTCGGGTTTATTTCGAAGGTGATTAGGCCTATGTTTTTGTTTTTGACTTGACTTCATTTGCGTCATTACTAATTTAGAGAAAGAAACTCGAGTGTAAACATGTAGTTTTTAAACATTTAGTACACATATTCTCATAGTACTCATTATAATTGTTGGTAGTATACTAAAAGAAAATAATATTAGTAGTTATCAATATGTTAAATTAATATTTCAATATTTTTTTTATATTTGTTGAAAAATCGTTTTGAGCGTGCGTTTTACATATTAGTTCGACTTTGTAGCTATTTAATTGAACGGATTCAAAGGTCATGTTGTGAGGGTCGGGTTGTCGGGTCTTTCCCGTTTTCCAGAAGGTCGGAGGGAGAGAGCCATGCTAGCTTATGAAATGTTATTCTTGAGGTATTAGACTGTTATATGTAAGTTTAAAAATATGCACAACCTCTATGCTTAGTGTAGTAGTAGAGGGCCTAGGGCAGGCTAGGTCAGATTGTAGTAGTTTGAGCCTAGGCCCATTTTATTTATTTCATTTGCCTGGAGCAACGGCGCTGGCTAAATTTTAATTTAATACACTACTTAGTAGGCCTAGATAGGCTTTTCTTTTTCCATCTTGATTTCAAAGGTCAAAGACATTTTTCAATTTTTTTCCAATCATATAGTGGTGTAGACTAGTCCTTTAAGAACATTTTGCTGAAAATTGGATACGACGCCCTGTTATGCAGTTATGATTTGTTAAATAACATGATGTCAGAAAATCAGCCCAAAAGCTTATCTTATTTCTGTTGGTTACGCACCGCTGATTCGCAATGTTTGTCATCACTTCCAGGTGTCTACCGATTCGTGAAAAAGGCCTAGGGCTAGGCCTAAAAAGATAGGTCGGCCTAGGCCTACCTGACAACCATATTATCAAGTTTTTTAATTGCGTGGAGGATATTTTAAAAATAAGCTCAAATTTACGCGGAAAATCGCTAGGAAAAAGGTGCACGGAATTGTAATTGCGGCATAAATTCACTGACTGGCTATATTATTATTAAGATAAGCCTAATTTTCCGCAAAATCTGTGCAGAAATCGGATTATTACTTAGGATGGCCAAGCGGTTAGCAAGGGGCACTGCATCCTACAACCATAATATCGATGCTGGTTCGAAGGACACGCTAGCCTATTGGCCAAGAATTCGATCCAACTCGGCCACAAGTCAACTCGGCCACAAGTCAACTCGGCCACAAGCCAACTCGGCCACAAGCCAACTCGGCCACAAAAAGTTTGGCTACAATCAACTCGGCCACAAGCCAACTCGGCCACAAGTCAACTCGGCCACAAATCAACTCGGCCACAGGTCAACTCGGCCACAAGTCATTTACTGGTACTACAATTTGAAGGAGTAATTCATCAAGTATAAAATACTAATTCTTTAAGTATTACTATACTTATTGTTATTATTATTGCTGTTAATATTGTTGTTATTGTTGTTTTTATTACCGTTAGTTTTAATATTAATTATTAGTCTTAGCATTAACATTATATACGGTATTGTTCAAATTTTTGCTGATATTATTATTACAGTACCATATAAATAATAAATAATTTTCGATTTATTATTATTATTATTATTATTATTATTTATTAGTTTTAGTATTATTATTTTAATAATAGTAATTTAAAAAGTTATTGTTATTGGTGTTTTATTGGTATTTTCTCATATTATTATTATTATTATTATTATTATTATTATTATTATTATTAATATTATTATGGTTGTTGTTGTCACCTTTATTATCGATATTATTACCCTATTATTACTAAGTAGGCCTAGTATTTAAGTATCATTATTATTATTATTATTACTAATTAGTATTACTATTATTATAAAAATAAACATTATCTTTAATTTATTATTGTTGTATTATTGCTATTATCACCTTCAATATCGTTATTATCACTAATTAGTTATTAAAATTGATATTTAAATAATATCGTTATTATTACCATATTAGTATTATTACTATTAGTATTGTTAAAATAAATATTGCTATTAATGTTGTTGTTATCACCTTTATTATCGTCATAATGACTAATTAGTATTATTAAAGTAAATATTATTAATTTATTGTCGTTGTTGTTTAATATAATTGTTGAAGTAGAATGTTGTGAGTAAACAGAAGACGAACAAATAACTCTTTTTAATTCATAGGCAATAGCATTCAAATCTCTTTTGGTAGTGTGGTGGTCCTGTTTTACTAAAATATACTGTACTTTATTTTAATCATTATATTGAAGAAAAAGGATGCAAAAAATACAGAGATTTACATTAAATAACTTGTGGCCGAGTTGACTTGTGGCTGAGTTGACTTGTGGCCGAGTTGACTTGTGGCCGAGTTGGCTTGTGGCCGAGTTGGTTGTAGCCCAACTTTTTGTGGCCGAGTTGATTTGTGGCCGAGTTGACTTGTGGCCGAGTTGAATTGTGGACGAGTTGACCTGCACCCTTGGCCAAGACTTGTGCCAGGCTGTATACTGTAAGGCTGCGCAAGAAATATATCGTGAGTGCAAAAATTTGGCCTATATATCCATCTGTGCATTTCGTAAAATATAGAGCGTTTTCCATGCAGTTTTGCTGAAAATTAGACTCTGACCAAATCTTAATTATATATAGCCAATGCAATTATGCAGCAATTACGATTCCACACACCTATTTTCCTTGCGATTTTTTTTACGCAATTGAAAAACTTGTGACTTGTGCTAAATACGTGACAAATTATGGTCACCCATGTATTTCTGCAAAATGCGTGTTTTATCCAAAATCACTTTGAAATGGAAGACCGTCCCACGCTATACGAGACAAGTTGGCAACTATGTGTTTTCAACTAGGCGAATTTAGGTATCAGGTCAAAACGGCAATAAACCAAAACAGCAATTACAAGTACCAAAATGGCAATAAGAATGCAGATCATTTCGGTGACGCCTTTGTTTTGGTGACGCCTTTGTTTTGGTGGTGCCACATTGTTATGCATTTCGGTTGTGATTCACAGCCGCAATATGGAACGCCGATGTACATGCTAGTGGTTTATTTACGTTTGGAAGGTAATTTAAAGGGTTTTGTATTTTAGTATGTGGGAACCTGTTTTGTTCAATGCTTGAATATGCTTATACATAATACTATTACTATGCTTGTTTTCCTATAGTATTATTTTTTTAAATAATTTTTATTGTTTCTGAAATATAAATTCCTATCCTTGGAAGTTAATTTGAATATGATCATCATTCCCATAGGTGACACATGTGTTATAGTAGTTATCAATTTCTAATTGATTTATAATAAAGCCTAAAGGCATGCTATGTGTTTTGTTACGTTATTGATTTTATAATTTGTTTTCAAATATACATTCATAAATTTTTAAAATACGGTACTATGCAATCAAGTTACATTTCACATGTTTGTATACCTGGATAGATTTAAGATACTGTAGTTTCATCATTATCATTGTTATGTTGTTTCCCTGCTATTTACAAAGACTAGCTGTACATTATCATCCTAATACAAATACTGAATATTGTGTGAAAGCTAAATCCATATAAATGAAATTGAAACAGAGAAAGCTTTAAAAAAACTGAAACTATCAGGTCATAAATCTTAAAATAAAACATAGTCTTAGTCAAATTTATTATTCATATGTTTTGCTATATTTTATAGGCTGTTTTGAGTCTTCAAGTCCTGTCAGTTTGAATCCAAACCTTATTGCCAAAGATGTTTTGGTCTGATTTTACTCCAAGATTTTTGTCAGATTCTGACGCGTCTGCTTCAAATTTAACATCATCCTCAGATATAGATGTGCCAACAAGTCCCAGCGATGAAGCCAAGAGGCATTCTGAAGATTTACTACGCGATGCATTAGATTTTGCAAACAAAGCAACCTATTACGATTCCATACGTCAGTCAAAGACTGCCATATTTTACTATGTTGTAAGTACTTGAGTTAACATTCCGTATTTATTCAAATAAACGCCCTGCATTTATTGTTGAGAAGGGTTTTTGAGTGGGTGTTTATTCGAATGAGGCATTTATTTGAGGGTGGTGTTTATATTTTGGCGGTAAAATGGATACATACCGTATACTATAAAAAAAAAAACAGGCTCCATTAATTTTATTGTAATGTGGAACTACAACACGTAATTACCGTCAAAATGTGTTGTTGTGTAATGATTAAGATTTATTAAGTAAAAGTAATTATTAAGCAGTAAAGTAAGCTTTATTCCATAATAAAACAAACGAAATGCATATTTCTGATTCAAGAATGATGGAAAAGGAATCTCAAATGCTCTGTGCATCACCATCGACTGAACAGGATAGTGCCCTACTGTCAGTCTGTGCATCGCCATCGACTGATCAGGATAGTGCCCTACTGTCAGTCTGTGCATCGCCATCGACTGATCAGGATAGTGCCCTACTGTCAGTCTGTGCATCGCCATCGACTGATCAGGATAGTGCCCTACTGTCAGTTTATTTATCCCAACCAGGTTAGAAAAAATGTAATTCTACTGGAGTAGAATATTATTAGAATGTGTTTAGAATGATGTTGCTTCCATTAGTTTTGTTTATAGTCATCTGGTGGGGGCATCTATTCAAGTGAAAAATAAATGCCCAGGGGTGTTTATTTGAGGGAGGCATTTATTGCAAATGAAGTTCTGGAGGGGGTGTTTATTCAGTGGGGCATTTATCTTAATAAATATGTTAAATACATGAACCACTTACACAATGTAACCATGATGTATAATTTTGACGAAAGTTCTTTGTTCATGGGGATCACAATTTTTCATTTATTCACAAATGTGATATATATTTTAGTTACACCTAAAAATCCACATACAAGGCATCTTCCATAGAATAATGGATAATACATTTTTCAGATTGCAGCAAAGTTATGTTGAAGTAAATTAACTATATAAGAATAAATATAAACAGACCTTTTTGTCAAGGAAAAAATCAAATTGAAACTATAGTACCTGTACATACAAATTAAATTTGCTTAATTTGTTCTGTCAGTGTTTTCAGGTTTGAAATATACTTTTTGCAAATAATTTGATAACTTTTTAGATTGCAGCAGTACTGCATGCCAGTGCATTTGCTGCTGCATTTTTCAGATTGCAGCAAAGTTATGTTGCAGACAATCAACTATATAAGAATAAATATAAACAGACCTTTTTGTCAGGGAAAAAATCAAATTGAAACTATAGTACGTACAAATTGAATTTGCTTAATTTGTTCATGTCAGTGTTTTGAGGTTTTAAATAAACTTTTTGCAAATAATTTGATAACTTTTTAGATTGCAGCAGTACTGCATGTCAGTGAATCAACAGATAAGAGTTAGGAAAAATAAAATATAAGTGTTTTTTGGCTGAAACCTGCATTCAGTTTCTTTTTATCAATAAAAATATACATCATTATTATTGTTAAATTATTATTTTTGTTATTGCTGTTGGTATTAAATTAGTATGTTATTGTTATTGTTATTATTTTTATTATTAATAATATATATCCATCACTACTATTTGTTTTTATTAATCTTTATGTTTAATAGGAAGCAATACAAGCAATGTTTAATGCTGTTCTAGCAAATCCTGAATTGGATATTGCAAAGAAATATTCCATGTACGTCAAGAGGGTAGAAGAACTTAAGAAAATGGGTACGTTGAAAATTTGTCATTCTGATTTTAGTAGCTTTGATAGAATTGAATATATAAATGTTGTTCCTAAATTAAATTTGTCAAGATTCTTACTGTACAATGTCTTAGATAATAATGCTCATTGAACAAGACTCATTATTCATGTTGACTCACTCTAACCAGGCATATAAATATTTCTTTTTAAGATAAAATGCATTGTATATTATTATTAAATTACTTTTTATGAATATTGGTTACTGGGGATTAATATTTTAATATCGGTATTGTATTCACAGTTTCATCCTCATCATCACAAGGTGTTGCCAAACAGAAAAGCAAAGAAGATACTGCGATGGAGAAGGCTAACTTTTTAATCCGTCAAGCTTTTGATGAAGATGATGAAGGCAACAAAGAGGAAGCAGCTGCCATGTATATGGAGGCAGCAGAGATCTGTATTGATGCAGTAAGTTTGCTTCTTGTATTATAAATTATTTGTTATACACTTTCCTTCTATCTCGTAGTTTATATATATTATATATTGACATTTGAGTGGTGTTATAATTATCAAATACACTCTTTATAATCCAGAGGAAAACTACTAAAGACCGGCAGTTAAAAGAGAAATTGGAAAAATTAGCAACACAAGCATTAGATAGGTAAGTATTTACAGAAAGAGGAATTAGTGATAATAATATAGTAGCATCAGCAACAGTAGCAGTAACAGTAACAACATTAGCAACAAAAGCAATAAAACAACAAATTGTTAATAATAATTGTAAGTTTTTTTCTTTCTGTTGGAAATTTGTTATTATTTATTTTATAGAATATTTATCTCTGTATTCAAATATGTATAGTAAATAATATTATTAAAAGAAATAAGATTTTTAATGTGGGCATCTCATCATTGTCTTATCTACTTGTATGTATGTACAGAGCAGAGTCATTGAAGAAAGAAAAGGAGAAAAAAAATGTGGCTCCCATCCTAGATCTACCAAGTGTTCCATCCCACTCACTGGATGTTGATGATGATGACAACCTTACAACAACATCCTCATCAACCTCAGTAACTGGTGACAAATCTCCAAATAGAACACGTCAGACAGGTGCTTCCAAAGGTCCTAAACCAAACACAGGAGGTAGTGGTGGTGGTGGCGGTGGTGGTGGTGCTAGAGGAGGAGGAGTGGGAGGAGGTGGAGGGACTGGGAGAGGTGGCGGTGGAAGGTATACTCCTGAAGAAATTGCGGTTCTCAGGTATGTCTGCAGCTTTTTTTTTTCTACTGTTTTGTAATAGTTGTAGGCTGTGTGTATTTCTTTTGATGTGTCTCAGTTCTCTGGTGATTTGATACATTGAGCAGATAATGCCAAATGAATATATAAATTCCTGTTGCACCCAAGAATTAGCAATTATTGCAAAATTAATTGCTATTAAAAATGAGTGTATTTGTAAATATGAAGTTGAAGCATTTTACCAATTTAATGTATTATTTCATTTTAGGAAAACATCATTTATTAATGGACGAGAGTACGTGCCATTCATTTCCCAGGCAGATTTACGCGAGAGGTTTGGTTTCCCGGTTTCCTTTGTGTAAGTATTTTTCTGTAGTCTTTACATTCACATGTTTGACGTTGCACTACAAACAACTATCATGAATTAATTATATTGGCCAAATTATAAATTAATTAATTAATTTGTTTATTTATTTGTTTATTTTATTTTATTTATTTTATTTTATTTTATTTATTTTATTTTATTTATTTATTTTTTAAAAATTTATTTTATTTATTTATTAATTTAATAAAAAATTATTGTGGTATACGATAAAATACAAAAAACAGAACAAGTGTGAAATTATTGTAGTACAAAAATTCAAGAATATGAAAAAAAAAATCAAATACATTCAAAGACACAAAATCTGTTTTAATTTCTCACAATTATAACCTGTAACCAAGTGTTAACACTAACTCAAGCAGCTATATGTATTTCTGGACTTATTTTCTGTAATTTCAGAGATAAGGCAGGAAAACTATCAATTTCTCCAAAACAAAAAGAAAGGTTCGGAAGATGGGTTCGAATCGAAGATATATCATCTGACCCTCACATGATACTCACAATTTCAAGTTTTAGCATCAAACAAGTGAGTACTTAATTCCAGAAGCAATCCTACATGAGTAATTTTATACTCGTCAGTTACATTTTGTGAATAAACCGAGTGCAACTGATATGAGGCTTATGCCAACTTGCAGTGCACATGTGATTACCATGAATACAGTCTGTGAACAAAAGTGATGACAAACAATTGTAAATTCCAATATAAACAATTATTCATTTGCAGTATTGTTATTATTTACTCACTTACATAATTTCAGAAATGTGATAAATTTTTAATTTATGTCCCAATAACTTTGTATGCCTAGCTTCAAAGGGATGATTGTAAATATTGAATAATATATTCAGGCTGCTTTATGTTTATTTCATTTGCATCCAAGAGCACTAGTTTTTGGTCATGAGCAAAAGTACAGCTGTCACAGGAATTGTTAATTATTACTGTATTAAAAGTGTACCTTCTTCAGAATTGGGACTTTGCAGGTTGTGATCCCCAGGGGGCTGGCCATTGGAATGTTTTTCATGACATGATCTCAGTCTCATGAGCATGGGTGCACAATATATTCTGGTGGGGCAAGGGAATGAATGGCAAGCACCTTCTCCTTGTAGTACATTAATTATTGCGACACTGATTGTGAAATTTGATGCACTTTGCAGACTATTGTACAGGACTGTTCATTTGTAGCATCAATGGCAATATCAGCAAATTATGAAAGAAGATTTAAGAAGAAATTAATTTCCAAGTAAGTGGTGAAACAACAAATTATATATGCTCATGCATTCATTTTAATTAATTCATTTAAATAATTTCATTCATTTAACTCAACTCAACTCAACTGAAAGATTGCATGCATCATTATAGAAAGAAGAAAGAATGAGTAAAATTATTGGTAATTAATATCCTGTCCAGGTCCCCATCTAGGTCACTGTCCTGGTCCATGTCTAGGTCCCTTTGACATGAATAAGATTCTTAAGAACATACCATGTCATTTATAAGAATAGCATTATATATGAAAGATTTATAACTGACATACGTTTTTAATTTTTCATTTTATAAGATGGATGTTTATAGGTATTTTGTAACTTTGTATTTTATCTATTTGTTTTGTGTATTTATTAAAATATACTGTAAAATCACATAGGCAGTATCATGTTTTTATGTAATATGACATGAAGACAGTTGGACAAGAGGCTGGGATTTGCACTGCACTTGTTGTTTGAGGGCTGATTCATTATTTCTGTTTCTTTTTTCCAGCATTGTATATCCTCAAAACAAAGAAGGCCAGCCTGTGTATAACCCTTGTGGCAAGTACATGGTTATACTGCATATTAATGGAGTTAAAAGAAAAGTAAGAAAGTATCAAAGCATTTTAATAAATATTAGGAAAAAAGTATATAAAACATTATAGTTCTCATAGTTCATATTACTTAATACTGAGAACATATTAGGCAGTGATGTTGGTTTGGCCTACTGTAGGCTCAGCTAGATATAGTATACATTTATCTTCTTTACTTCCTTTCAGTTGAATATAGAAAATGCTGTTTTAGCCCTTATTGGAGAAAGGAAATGGGTGATAATACTAACATGTATATAACCCACCACCAAATTATCATTTGCTTACTTCTGAAAACTTTATTCAATGTTCTTTGTATTTGTATTGGTGAAATTGAATAATATATTTTATTATTTTACTTTAGGTGATTATTGACGATTTTTTACCTGAAGATCGTCATGGTAGCCTGTTATGCTCCTTCTCTAGCAATCGCAATGAATTCTGGGTATCTATCATGGAGAAAGCTTACATGAAGGTTATGGGTGGCTATGATTTCCCAGGCTCCAACTCTGTAAGTAGATAGGTGTATTAGCAAACTAGTTTCCAGGAACTTGTTAGATTTATGACTCATTCTTAGCAGGGAACTAATCCAGATTTATCTTTGATTAAACCCAAGAGTCATGAGCATAAAGCAACAAAAGTATAGCTTCACTTGTTTTTTCAGCCATTCATTTATTTAATTTCAAATCAAATTCAAATGACATTATTTAATAATGGAAATAATAATGGTATACAATACAATACAAATTATAAACCACCATCATTGGGATCATGACTAGAAGTAAAAACTTGTCTCGTCATGACCCCCCCCCCCCACCAAAAAAAAAAAATGAATAAAAATTTAAAAAAAGAAATAAATAAAAATAAAAGAGAGAGAGAGAAATGAACTTAAAAGCTACCATAATTATTTACTGATGGTACAATGATAAGTATTCTTTTTTAATTTACTTTTGAAGACAGGTAAAGAAACTGAATTTTTAATTGAAACATCGAGATCATTCCAAAAATTAGGACCAGCAACAGAAACAAAAAATTGGCTTTTTCTGAGTCTGACGAAGGGAACTGGGACGGAAGCATTTCTAAAATTATATGAATGGGTTTTCTGAAGTGTATCTGACAATTGTAACATAGGAAGAGGAAGCATTTTTATTAAATACTGAAACATAAATATTGCCAGTTGTACCTTGTTAATATCAAATAAATTTAGAATTTTCAGTCGTTTGAATAAAGGTACAGATGGAGGTGTAATAATTCTGGCTGCACGTTTCTGTAATTTAACAAGTTTATTCAAATTTGAAGGATAATCAGAAGCCCAGACAGTATTGCAATACTGTAAATGTGGTATTATAATGGCAAAGTAGAATATGTTCGGGAAAAGTAAACTTGAGCCTATTAATGATGCCAATAGTTTTAGATATTTTTTTAGTTGTTCTGGTGATTTGTTAAATCATTCATTTATATTATTTATTATATATTTATCCATATATTCATGTATTTGTTTATATGTATATTCCTTTGTTTATGTAAATTTATTTATTATTAAATTTTTTGTTTAATCATTCATTTATATTTTTTATTTGATCAAATATTGATTCTTTTCCTCATAGAATATTGATCTGCATGCCTTAACTGGATGGATACCGGAACGAGTTGCAATTCGTCTTGACAGCGCAGAGTTCAACAAAGATGAGGTCTTCAAAAAAATGATATCAAGATTCCATGTTGGGAATGTTCTAATCACCGTGGCAACAGGGGTGATGTCAGATGTGGATGCTGATAGAGCCGGATTAGTACCAACTCATGCATATGCATTACTTGATATACGGGAGATAAAGGTAATAGGCATGTGAAATAAACTATCTGAAATTCTTAGGTCATGTCAGCGACAAATTTTAGGTCATTTTAACCACAGTAGGAACATCTACATATAGGTGAGAAATGTCATGTACAATATCACAGCCAATTATGTGCTAAAGAGCACAGGATATTTATTTTCCAAAAATGATAAAATGGATAATTTAAAGCGTAGAAGTACACCTTTTTTCTACTTGATCAAATAAAATGATACATATTTTTGTAGGGAAAGAAACTGATTCAATTGAAGAATCCATGGAGCCATCTAAGGTGGAAAGGTCATTATTCTGAATTTGATGAAGAACAATGGACACCTGAATTGCAGAAGGCCCTCAACTTTGACCCCAAGAATGCTCAACAATTTGACAATGGTATAGTGCTATTAATAATAGGGAGCTTTCAGTCTGTGCGACGACGCGACACTAGAACGGAATCACTCATGCGTAACCGTCCTACCTGGCGTCCTACGTTCTCTGCATACATAGATTTGGCCAAATTGTGTTCCTGAATCTACTCGATGAGGTAACCTTAACGTTCTCGCATGCGCAGATGACTTTTAGTGATGTAATTACGTTCTACGTCCTACCGTCGTCGTGCAATCGAAAGCTCCTTAATATTTGTGGCAATAATGATAATGATGATGGAGGTTGTGATCATAAAGATGGTGATGATGACTATGGCGATGGCAGTAATGGCAATGATGATGGCAGTGACGATGATATGGATAGTAATGGCAATGATGATATGGATAGTGTGTTGTTGGTAGTAATGGCAATGATGATGGTGATGACGATGATATGGATAGTGTGTTGTTGGTAGTAATGGCAATGATGATGGCGATGACGATGATATGGATAGTGTGTTGTTGATAGTAATGGCAATGATGATGATGACGATGATATGGATAGTGTGTTGTTGGTAGTAATGGCAATGATGATGGCAATGACGATGATATGGATAGTGTGTTGTTGGTAGTAATGGCAATGATGGTGGCAATGACGATGATATGGATAGTGTGTTGTTGGTAGTAATGGCAATGATGATGGCGATGAAGATGATATGGATAGTGTGTTGTTGGTAGTAATGGCAATGATGATGGCAATGACGATGATATGGATAGTGTGTTGTTTGTAGTAATGGCAATGATGATGGTGATGACGATGATATGGATAGTGTGTTGTTGGTAGTAATGGCAATGATGATGGCAATGACGATGATATGGATAGTGTGTTGTTGGTAGTAATGGCAATGATGATGGCAGTGACGATGATATGGATAGTGTGTTGTTGATAGTAATGGCAATGATGATGGTGATGACGAGGATATGGATAGTGTGTTGTTGGTAGTAATGGCAATGATGATGGCAGTGACGATGATATGGATAGTGTGTTGTTTGTAGTAATGGCAATGATGGTGGCAGTGACGATGATATGGATAGTGTGTTGTTGGTAGTAATGGCAATGATGATGGCAGTGACGATGATATGGATAGTGTGTTGTTGGTAGTAATGACAATGATGGTGGCGATGACGATGATATGGATAGTGTGTTGTTGGTAGTAATGGCAATGATGATGGCGATGACGATGATATGGATAGTGTGTTGTTGGTAGTAATGGCAATGATGGTGGCAATGACGATGATATGGATAGTGTGTTGTTGGTAGTAATGGCAATGATGATGGCAGTGACGATGATATGGATAGTGTGTTGTTGGTAGTAATGGCAATGATGATGGCGATGACGATGATATGGATAGTGTGTTGTTGGTAGTAATGGCAATGATGATGGCGATGACGATGATATGGATAGTGTGTTGTTGATAGTAATGGCAATGGTGATGGTGATGATTCTGACAATGATGACAATAATGATGATGGAGATGGTGGTGATTAGGATAAGGATGATGATTGTACAATAATGATAATGATATTACTGATGCTATAGTAAATTATATGAAAAGGAAGAGGTGTAAAATGTCGAAGGTCATGTAATGAAAGTTTTGTTGGTCGCTCTCCTGATTGTTGATTTCCTATTTGTTGAATATTTCAGGTGTATTTTGGATAGATTATGATTCACTTTGTCACTTCTATGATGTCATCTATATGAACTGGAACCCATCGCTCTTTGCACACACTTACGTTCTCCACAAGTATGGTTTATGCAAGGATTTAAATATCTCTTAGGATAACTAATTAAAACTTGCTCTGTAAAAATTAGGTCCCCTCCTGTAGAGTGTGTTTGTGGTGGCACTTCCAATAAATATAGGCTTATATTATACCACATAGTCACGATACATGGTAGGTGGCTGAATAGTGGATTTAAGAAGAATGATAATTTCATAAGAATAGACTATATTCAATAGTATACGTGTCTGCAGATATGTACACATACACATACAAACAGTACAGATTGTGTTGTGATTAGATACTGAATCCATGCCACTTTTTCATTGAACATTACTTGTAGTGGTTTTTAGAGTTTCAAATTCTTGAGCATTGATGGATTAATGATTTTAATTACTTTACTTGGTTTTCTATTTGCTAGCACATGGCAAGCTGGGGAAGGACCAAAGAAAGACAGTTATGTATTAAGTAACAACCCACAGTACAGGCTTGACGTTAAAGGCAAGGGAGGGGTATGGATCCTTCTGACCAGGCATATCACAGACAAAGACGACTTTGCTGATAACAAAGAGTTCATTACCCTTTTGATTTACAAAGGAGGAAAGAAAGTTTTCTATCCTAGTAAGTTAAGCATCTTCATCTAAACATGTGAAAACCTTGTAAATGTATTTGAATTAAATATATTTAACTATTTAAAAATTAATAAACTTTTAAAATTTACTGTACATGTAAATATGTTCATTATATTTATTAGCATTTTTACAATTAAATATCTTGAAAAATATTGAAATAATAAATAATAGTTAAAATGTTAGTGCTTATCTATCACCAAATGATGACCTAAAGTCAAAAGTACTAGCACAATAAATATTGAATTTTGAGGCAGTCATATATGCTGTGTTTAATTTAATGAATCAGCTTTTTCAGCAACCTGTATTTTATCAATCCATTCATTCATCCATCTATCAAAGCATCCATCTATCATTCAATTCTCATTCATAATTGATCCATCCATCCATCGATCCATTTATTGGTCGATTAATCTATCCATCCATCCATCCATCCATTCATTTAAATATACAGCAGCCAGCACACCCATTTTTACATGCATCTATGCCTTTATCATATCCATCCATAAGCAGCCAACCAATCCATCTTCCTATCTGTGTCTTTTTTCTGGTAGACTTACAACCTATCTCTATGTATTTTCTTTGCAGATGAGGCACCTCCATACATTGATGGAACAAGAATTAACAGTCCTCATTATCTATGCAAGATGGTAGTGAAGGAGGACGGAACATCATCTTTTACGGTTGTTGTGTCTCAGTTTGAAAAAAGCAACACCATCCACTACTCATTAAGGGTATAACATCCATTTAAATTGATTGTCGTATAGAAATGCATTGTGAATATGAATAGTAGGTGAGGCTGTGTTAAACCATGTTTGCATAAGATTAATTTTGCTCAAACTAATCATTTACCAGGTCACTTTGACAAACACATAATCAATGGAAAAAAAACCCATTCTCCTTATTATCATTGTCTCTATTTTACAGGTCTATTCTACAATTTCTGTGAAGTTGTATAAAGTGCCTGATCCATACCAGCATAGTAAACAGGTAAGAACAGGTTAAAGGTTATACATGGTATGCAGGTTATTAAGAGGTCAATGTAAAAGTGATGTATCAGCTACAACTTACAGGCAAACTTCAAACCTCTCACAAATATGTAGGTATGCAATCGCCATACAAATATTTAAGAAATATAACAGGTTGGGGCATCACCTTTTATTATATTAATAAAATATTTATTGCAGTTAACTGGAGAATGGAAAGGTAAAACTGCAGGTGGATGTGCCAACTTCCGTGACACAGTGGGAAACAATCCTATCTACCAAGTTAGTCTGCAAGAGAAATCCAAGCCTAACTATTTCATGGTTGATCTGAAGGGACCAAGGTAAGACATTTATGGAAGCCTGTGGCACAGTGTGTAAAGCATTGCACTTTCAATCGGAAGGTGGGGGTTGAGACCGATGCTCATCACACTGCTAGTATTCTGGGGCAAGACACTTATATCTGCATTTGCCTCTCCTCACCTGGTAGGAGGTGAATGATTTGGAATGAAATTAGTAGCTGCTGATTACACGCATAACTCGGAATACTCCGCAGGCGGCAGTAGAGGTTGCACGTTGTGTATGATTGATTCTGTGTCCAATGATCAGGGAAAAAAGGCGCTCAGACTCTGGTAAAGAGCACTATATAAAAATTGCTAAAATAAAATAATTGATAATTAGATTTAACTCAAGACAAGACTGATAGGGAACACCTTGTACAAAATACTTATCAGAATAAAACATATTGGTTTTTGTACCTCAAGCTAACTACTTGAGAAAATGTTGATTGCCCTATAGATTGACTATTAGTATGTTGGTCTGTAGCAATACTTTTTGTCTACAGTATCATTTAGATGCTAACAATGTTTGCATTTTTTATCAGGGATTTCCATGTAGGTTTTGAGTTGAATGCTGTATCAGCTGATGGTACTGGGAGCAATACATTCCAGAAATTAAAGAGTGGAGATTACAGGTAATCACTTTACAATCTATTTTGTCCATTTATACAACGGCTCTATGTCACTGAGTTTATTGATTATTGTTTTGTTTTTATTACAGGCGTGGTTTCACCGCTCTTCAGCTAGAGGATGTACCAGGTGGTATTTATAATGTTATGCCAACAACTTTTCAACCAGGACAGGAAGCTCCTTTTTTCTTAACAATTTCAGCCTCATGCCCGATAAAAGTTGTCATTCTGCAGTAGTGGTAAACATTTGCAGCCTTTTACCAAATGTAAGTTGTCCATTTGCAACAGTAGTTAACAGTTGCAGCCTTGTGCAGGAAGAAACTTGTCAATTTTGCGATAGTGGTTAACAGTTGCAGCCTTCCACTAAATGGCATCTGAAATAGGGGTTGACAGATGCAACTTGTGCCAAGTAAAAGTTGTCTGCAGAAGTGGTCAGTGGCGTAACACCTATGGGCTCTCAGGGGACGAAGCCCCGGGCCCCAGTCTAAAGGGGCCATGGAGGGCCCTTCCTAATAAATAGCACTCTTCTAACACTGAACAGGGCCTTGATATTATGGTCTGACAGAAGACACCCAAAACTAGCAAATTAAAACAAACATAATACCACGTTTGTAACTCACGAATGTGTGAACTTGCACGATAAATGTTCTACACGTGCCTGAAACCAGGCTATGGGTTGAAGTTCCAGTAAATTTTGCATTTTTTGTTCTTAGATTTGTTTTGTTACATTTCATTTGGCAGCATTTTCCAGGTGCTCTCAATATATTCCGCCCAACTAACTGGTTGTTTATTTTAGTTTATCTGGTATATAATTTTAAATGACGGCAATTAGATTTTTATGGAAAATAATGTTAAAAGTCCTTGAAAATTATCCTTGGACATGCAGCCATCAAGATGTAGATAATTAACAAATTATATTTGAAGTATTTGCAATATTAACATTTTCAGTATGTTTTTAAAAAACGGTCTCTGACTGTCTGTCCATATACAAAGCTGTTCTATTCTGTGTATACATATTTTGCATTAACATTTTAGAATAATAAGCTTTCAATCACAATTGGCAATTAAATTTGCCACAAAAACCTTCATGGTCAAATCTCGTGGCAAAAAATTAAATATATTTATTTATTCAACTTTATTCTGGATGGCACACTCAATGTAAAGTCACTAATTTTCATTGTGGTCAATTTATATAAACATACTAAAGTGATTGAAAAATAAAAATGTTTGGTAATTTTAACAAAAAGGAATTACAAAATAGAGGAGACCAATGAATAGATTGAAATGAAAGGTTATGGGTTGAAGTTCCAGTAGGTTTTGCATTTTTTGTTCTTAGATTTGTTTTGTTACATTTCATTTGGCAGCATTTTCCAGGTGCACTCAAAATTTTTATGGAAAATAATGTTAAAAGTCCTTGAAAATTATCCTTGGACATGCAGCCATCAAGATGTAGATACTTGACAAATTACATTTGAAGTACAATTGCAATATTAACATTTTCAGTATGTTTTTTAAAAAATTATTAAACTGTATACTTGATGCAAAGTAAAGAATTCTTTGATTCAATTTATTTGTATTGCTGTTATATCTTTATTCAGAAAAACTAAAAAATGCTCTATAAGGTGTCAATGACCCAAAACTGAAAATCATAAGCTTTCAAACATTCAACCATAAAGTATTCGCAATTCGGAGCATGTATTTATACAGACAGACTTCACCAAATAAAAACCATTACAGAAAGATGATAAATACAAAAATATGTAATATTTTCTATTTGCAATTTAATTATTGATTTTTTTAAAGGTGTAAATTTAATTATTGTTGAACCTAGTATCTTGTTCACACACTAATTGTATTCAGACACTCAACATTATTTTGTTTATGCAGCAAAGATTCTTCGAGTCAATCGTAAAATCCAATGATGTTATAAACACTTTTACCTGCATAAATATTCTGTGAACTATTGACCACCTATTATGCCTGCATCACATCTCTAAACTATTTATTGATTATCTGTTAACATAAAGTAGGTATAAAGCGGTGTAAAAGCAGTCAAGTTTTTTAGGAAATGTTTGGGTGTGGCCCACAGTTTTTAATTGAAAATTCACTTTGGCCCTGCTACCCATTTGTATGCAAACCCCTGTTAAAATTAACTAAATTGCCCAGTTTTTTTCTATGAGATTTCCTCAATCTGCTGGTATTGGAAATTGTCAGACTCATTCACGCAAACCCAGATACAGCCACCCGTTCAATCACTTATTAACACACTTGCAAGCATCTGTGAACGTCTTTTAACGCACATCCTACCATCTGCTTTCGTACTAAATCAAAGTTGCATAATTATTAATGTTTTTGGTACAACTACTCAATTGGACTAAAGGAATTATTATTATTTGTATTACTGGTTCATTTACGAAATATAGTATAATGTTTAACAATGACCCGAGTATCCCCTAAAACTGATCATTGTTAGCCTTAATATTCTATATCATACAATTACAGTACCAGATTTGGCTGTGTGTAAGTCCACTAGTCATTTTCTAGTCCAAAGGTTGGATTAATTGACAGTTACAACCACCATTAGTTATGTTTATAAATATAGATTTTAGGTATATAATAAAAATAAGGTTATGAAAGAAAATAGTTTTCTTTAAATGCCAAAAAAATTCCATTTAAAAAGAGTATGTAATGTTTGTTGATATGGTAATAAACAAAGTCTAAAAAAAATAATTCCCCATGACATAGTGGATGACAAAAGAAATTTGTAAAATAATTCCCTACAAACATATAGATCAGTGCTAGATTTAGAATTTAATAGGGAGCAAACATCTACGTATTATACAAGTTTTGAAGATTGAAATGAGGACCGCCCTCTGTAGGGTTTATCTTCATGTCAATAAATATTTGAACAATTTTTATAAAATATTTCATGATCATTCCTTATTTTAGGATTGACTGCCTCATAAAGATTTATCTAGTAAATTGACCCATTAAAAAAATAAAATCCTACAATACACTAATAATATAATCAAATATAATATAAAGTGTAAAAATAATTAGAAAAATATTGTTTGAAACTGTTCCACAAGTATTCCCACATCATACAACTTATAATATACATTTACAAGCTTATATAACTTTTCCTTTCAAACCTAACATATACAATTTAATTCAAATGGCATCTTTTGCAAATCACTGAATGAAAAAAATAGTTGAGTTTGCTATTAATACAAAATAACTTCTTGATATTTATACATTAAATCTAAGTACAAATACAAATACACGAGTAATGTCTTCTTTCTTGATTAATATGCACAGTAACGTTAATAAGTTGCAATGTCTACAAAACATGTATTTTACATAGCTATGAACTAATACTTTGAAAGACTTAGTATGAAACTGAAGAAAATTAGTAATAGGTACTTTACATATGTGCAGTGAAAGCACAATTCTAAACATAAATAAATGTCTAAAATGTTTACGTAAATAATGGTCTACTATTCAAAGCTTTGCATAATAAATTAGTAATGTAATTACTTATTTGTAAATGATATAAGTGGAAAGGATGTATTCAGTATTATCCTTGTTATCACAGCAGCATATCTGCCATTAAACTATAGACAATGTTGATTGGCATTATTGAAATACAGTGCACCCTCCAAATCCAGACCCCTCCAATTCAAAACCATCATTTCAAAGACCAAAATAAAACTCGTCAATCTTTTAACACAAGCTTTACCCTCTCAAGTGGATACTCAACCTTCACATCACCCAAATTTCAGGTCCAACAGTGGTCTTGAGTTGGAGGCGAACTATAATTACCATGTTATTTAATTTTAATTGTTTAATATACAAAAAATTACAAATCAAAATTGTCTTAAAATAATGTGTTAGCAATTAAACATTTATTTATCATTGTTTATTTGCCTTCAGCAGACATTAATAATAAAAAAACTTATCCTAAAACGCTCACATTTAACCAAGGTATGTTACAAGCCACTGGATTGATTGAAAGAATGCAGCATTTGTTAAGTAACACTATTTCTGAGGCAAGTTATTTCTGGCAAATCTGTTCCAAAATTTACCTCCAAAATATTAAACTGTCTTCCCTAATTGTTTAGCCTCTTGAGTCACTTCAAATACTAACATGCCATAAAAATTAATCATTTTTAAAAAACATAATCAAAAATATGATATTTCATCTAAAAAAGTTAATTACATAATTATATAATTGAAATTGGATTGTCTAATTGACTTTTAAATTTAATCAAACTTTTAAATATTTCACTAAAATATTTGTCATTTCATACCTCCTACTATATCATACAATATCTATAATTATCTTGTACAGTTCTATTTGCTAATTATATAAAAATGTACTAGTGATAGTCTTTGTTTTACAGTTAGTCATAGTAAAGTAAATCTTACTGTTTTAAATATTAACTGAATAGCTGATTGGGGTGAATCCATAACAAACCAACTCTTACCCAGTGTTTGCACAAACAACTCTAAATAGTACATCATCATATTTTTTAATGCTTAAAAATTCTGTTCACTTGCAATTTAAAAACAATACAATAACTGATCCAGTATAGAATTACCTTTCAATCCTTTATCATCAATAATACTATAAATAACCCTAAAGTTGATATTTTCATTAATGCTAACTTAATTGATGTAATGATCATCAAAGGTACTTGTTTATCATCATGACAGGCTGGTCATTGATTGGTATGATATGATCATCAATGATAGTTCAACATAGTCAGTCTTTATAAAAAGACTGATTACAACAATTGATACCAATTATCCCTGTGCACTTACACATATGTTGCCAAGATAAAAAGATGAATGGAAAAAAGCACCACTAAAAGGAGAAAAATACCTAAAATATGGAAAGATCACCAAAAATAATGTTTGTGATTTCAAAATATATTTTTCATTTCGAGGAGAAGAAATTCAATAACTTGATTTTGGTAGACAAGATTTAAGGCAACACTGCCTGTCTCTTCTTGCGGCCACATCAACGTCGGTCCAAAAACAATTGCCAGATTATGTTCTTGCATACGATTTTCTTCTGCCCTCTGTGCAACTCTGCAAGTAGTATTTAAAACAATAGATTTATAATATGAACTCAACAACATCAATCCAAATGCACAAAATTACAGAAGTAAAACTGACAACTTGACAAAGTTTGTCAACATCAATGGTTGTTTTTACAGATTTAAATTTTGGTGAGTCGAGTGGTACAATTTTTGCACCCCCCAGATGGGAACCCCCCTGTAGAGGGTTATCCTGATGCTATGGTTCATTTCAGCCACTGTCGTTGTGGAATGATGATTGAGCAATTACCTCAATATTAAAATTAAATAAATTTTTAATAACTTGATTAAAATTCTACCTGAGCAAGTGTTGTAACAGCATCTTCAGAGTTGAATAATTACAAGACGGCAACCTTTTTACCAATTCTCGGAACATTTTTATTTTTGCTTGTCTGTCAGGCGCTTCTATAAAAAAAAATTGATGAATACAAGAAAAAACAAATGAAAATCAGAAAAAAAATCAAAAAATTTATAATGTTTTTACATAATTACTATCATGAAATTAAAAAGAATTTAAGAGAAACTTACTGAGAGCTGACATGTATCTTTGGTACATATTACTGGGGATTAGTGGATCCGGAAGTTCACGGAAAAACAGTTTCAATGCTCCCGTCAACACATGGATGTCATCCCATGGAGGCTTGTCCAAGTTCACTTCACGTTCTAAAAAGCACACAAAACATCATAATCATATAATAATTAAGTTTATTCCTCAAAACAATATTAATAATAAAATAAATGGTTCTTGCTTTTATTTTGTAATTGTATTAACAATCAAATGTTGGCCGAGATAAAATAAAAAACTCAATCTCTTACCTAGATCAACTTCGCACCGCAATTTTTGTACCATTGATAAATTTGCACTGACACGGTATATACCATCAACACTGAGTCCCTTCTTGTCTATCGTTGCAATGCATATTTCAACAAATTTAGGAACAACTGTGCCTTCTTTCTCACATAACTTATCAAGTCTCTTGCCAAAGACATTTTCCTCTGTTCATAAGATAATTCACAAACCAAGCATATATTAATATATTATTATTATTATTATTAATATTACTAATTATTATTTCTATTATTAAAAAGATTACCAGTAACAACATAAACTTAAAAAATAATATAAGTATGCATATCATTAAAAATGACAGTTAACATTCATATAAGATAAACATAACAAATGCATTATTAATAATAAAGCAAGAAATAAGACAAAACCAATAAAATCTTTAGCTACCTTTAAGAATTCCTTTGATTTCTAAATCCCTCTTTGTCGGTCTCCTTACTATAAATGGTAACAATTTACTCCGTATTTTCTTCTTGTCGGTATCTGTTGAAACAATCAATAACAGTGCAATGAAAGTGAGCATTTTGTAAAATATTGATTATTGCATCACATCACTTTCAGGTGTGGTATTGCTTACTTTGTTTCCTAGACGCTCTTGGATTAAGAGTTGGAATGTCGTTGTCCTCATCAGAAACACTATGTTTGCCCTTTCTGTCTGGCCTGTGACCGGGAGGTGACTGTAGAGAAAAATCACCAAAAACAGATATAGATATTAGTTTTAAGTAATAAACAATACAAATGGGTCAAGAATAAAGAGTAAAAAAAAAAAAACTCTAGGAAAATGAAACTTAATAATAAAAATTGTTTACATTTGCTTTCTGTTGGTTTAACAGAAAGAAACTAAAAGCATTCTTTAGACAAATCTAATCTATATTTCAAATCAAATGACAATTCAGTTGACTATCTTCACTCACCAGTTTACTAATCTTCTCAATAATTGTCTCATACCATGCATCAGTTTCCTGTGATTTATCCGAGTGTAAGACCATTTCTACTCCCGTGTTAGATATTAGCTATAAAGCAAGAAAAATAAAAGAAATGACAATTACACAAATTGCATTAGGTAGCTCTCAGCTGTAAGGCCTACCCTCAGCTATGTTCTGCTAGGATTTGCTTCAGCTGATTGAGTTTCTGACCTATGACCTAAACACAGTTTAAAGATGCTATGCTTAGCTCAACTTTGGAAGTTGGGATTTATACAAATTTTTAAATATTTTAACATACATTGATTTTGGTTTGAAATGACAAGCTTTTTCTAATGACAAAAGAGTTGCTACTTGCATGTTGAGAAGCAAAGTGTCCAAAATTATGATAAGTTTTATTAATATTACTAATAAAGCCAATACTACTTACATGAAATGCATTTTTACCCTTAGGTCTGAAGTCCTTTTCTGCTACTTTTACTGTTGCTTCATTAAGTTCAATACTGCTTTCTGGACGACCCAGGCTCCCACCCCGTCCCTGTAAAGAGAATTAGTGTATACCTGTCATATCACCTACAACAGATGTACAGTTTATCACTAAGGTTAATATAAAGTGGTATGTCAAACCATTAACTTTGGGGCAAAAATTAATGCTTAAGGGAATTGGTGGTGAGAAGCCTGTTTTTTAAAGGATGGTGAAGTCCTCTACGTGCTATTATCCAACACTTAACCAACCCTGACCAGGACTCAAAGCTGGGTCTCCTACTTCATCTGCAAACACCTTAACAAAACTGGACATTTGCCAAAATTTTACCTTTTTTCACTTTTGCAAATTCCTTTTCTCTAGCATTTATAATTTATGCATTTATATAGCATTACCACAAAATACTTCAGAATTTATTTCAATAATTTGTGAATATTAAGTCACCATATGAGTTGAGGAAATGACGAGTTTATGTCAACTACTTTGGGCATGCATATACCCTTGCTTGCATGTACCCTTGCTTGCATATACCTTTGCTTGTCATTCTTATTCATCGAAACTTTTACTACATATATTTTTAGGTGACTGTGTGGTGCTATGGGGCTTTATTCTATCCTTCAAGGAGACTCCCAGGGTGGGGTGATGGTTATGGGATAGCACACAATCCATTTAGGGCCTGATTAGTATAAAGGGTCTAGTGTGCTTCCTAGAAAGAATGTCCATGCTAACCCACCAAATGTGTACACATTTTACCGTACTTTTCCCGATATTGTAGACCTAGTAACGGCTCTTCATATTTTAAGTATTAACTTTAATAGGGACTTTTAGATTGTGTGGACGTGGACCTAGTTCATGTCGACTAGTCATGCGTGTCAACGTAGTCAACTACACCTGTTGACTACAAATGAAAACCTTTTAGATTTCAGTCGACATATAGCGTGCGCTAGGCAACCTTATTAAGCAGCTGTTTCATGGTGAACCTTCATCGACTTCGCGAAATTGTCGTCTTTGCATATTCTACAGGTGTCTTGGACGATGAGGAATTCATGTTTTTATACAATACAAATAAACCCAAAAATGCCGAATTGAGGTACCGAGATTATCAGAAATTTGATCTAGACAAGTACAACAATGATGAATGTAATGCATACTTCAGGGCGCATCCGGTGCGTCAACTGCGATGATGCAGATAGTTAACAGGCCTCCCCGGCCGGCTGCGCTCGCTGCGGTGCAAGTTTGCATTGCATGCACACTGGCGTAAGCACGCTCATGAACTTCCACAGCCTTTTTTGTGTTTACGAAGGCAGTAGAAATTACATAACTGTCTGTGCATTAAAAAGCAAATAATACAGATTAATTCAACACAAGTTAGAAACTTCCCCCAGACTCTGTCTGCCTCAGTTGGACGAACTTAGTGAAGGCAGCGTTGCCGCTATATTTTCATCTTCCATCTTTAAACTTCACAAGCGAGCACGGCGTCCTAGATTTAGGACAACGGGAAAAACGAGGTGAACACGTTCTCGATTTTGGTAGTGGACGAGGGAGACGACGTAACGCATGCGCAGTGCCTTAAAATGACCTCATCACGTAGCAGTCCACTATGTCGACGTGCAAATCTAAAAGTCCCTATTGAAACATTTTAAGACAATTTATCAATAATTTACTATCATTTTTTTAACCATATTTATAGAGAGTGACCCTTCCAGCCTATCCTAGGCCAGCAGATATTTAGGGGCCCTCTTCAATAAATGAAATAACTTGATGCTCTTATCAATGAAGCCACATTATGTGGATTAGAAGTGGAGTTTTCAGTCTTCAGAAAAATTCCGGCTGTTACAGGAATTGAACCCAGGACCCTGAACTTAGAAGGCAAGCATCCTAATCACTAAGCTATTCAACTCCACTATCATGTATTTAGACTGATGTCAATAGATTCACCACCATAACATGTTGTTTAATAATTAATTGTGTTTCGTTACTCTTAATGTTCAATTAGTAATTACCAAATCGCACTAATAAACATAAACCAACCTCAAACATTTGTTGATCCTTATAAATAACTATCGATGAATGTGTGAGTACAACGTACACCTTGGACCATTTGTTTCTGGTTTTACGGTGATCCTTCAACCTTAAGCAGTACAGATGGCCAGTTTTATCAGCTAGTGTTGGTGGTGAGTCTTCCTCCACCCTACGGTCGATGTCATACGCTGAAAAACTTGTTGGAAGCTACAAGCAAATACAGGTGGTTATAGGTTAATAACAATTTTCCTCAGTAGCATAATAATATTTTATCAAGAGATTTCTGTTGTCTACTTCACCATGTGCTCGGGACATATGCAACTACTTACACATGCTTCCTCTATATTCTCAATCTTAAACATTGTGTAGAATAGTGACTAGCCTGGGTTCCAGGCCCTAATAAATAATAAGGGACTTGTGGCAAGTCTAGATAATGACCTATGGTAGGTCTAGTGGTAGCCAGATCTGGCTTCAGAATTCGCCCAACTGGGACCGTAAGCTGTCTAATTTTCCAATGAACACCTGTTTAAGTTAAGGTAATCTACTGCTCAAAGTCAGTAAATGTCTGTTAATACCATGTCAGATTTTTATCAAAGGAGGCCTACTACACAAAAAATGCCATTATAAGATATGATATATAGTAAATTTGAAACTGTATTTAGCAAAAGTTGTAATTGAGGACAAACAATTGTACTGAAAACAATTAACTGTATTAAATCATTCTGTTTATAATAATTAAAAATATGTAATATACAAGAACTATGAGTAGAATAAAGAATCCCAATAATAATAATAATAATAATAATAATAATACAGTAATAATAAAATACTTTATTTAAACACAGAGACACTTGAATCACCCATGGTGTTTTTCATCAAGGCCATGCAAGGCCACACATAATAAGAAACAAAATTATTGAAAACATAATGAATTAAAGAAAATAACAAAAACACAGTACCTTTAACTACCAGTGAAACTATCCCCCGCCGGACACCAACCCGGTATTTGTAGTTTCGGGGATGAGAGTGAATGAAACCAGAAGTTATTAAAATATGGAATGAACATATAATGTTTTAGTTAAGAAACACAGAATGAACGCGACAGAAAAAATCAGTATGTCAGAGGTTAGTTAAGAAAACAAGCCAATGCTTCACTAAATATGAAATATCATTTTACTATTATTACTACTAAATGATTTTATGTTATAGAACATGTATTTACACATTTAAATTCAAACTCCTTAAAAATAACTAACTTCAGTAACGATGGACATTACAACAATACAAATAAACATTGTTGACAATCTGCATAATAAAATACATTAAACTAGAAATTGCAAATTGCAAGTGAAGTGCTGTGAAGTACAACTGCATAAAATGTTCTTCGAACAAAATTATTTATGCGAGTCAAGTGAAAATAATGAATAATAAAAATATAACAAATAATATGAGCATGACCCATTGTCTATATTAGAACAGCGTTGGTACTGTGTACTAGAGTTTTGCTGCAGTGACATCTCTCTGCTGGCGACTTGCTGCTGCTGGCGATGACTCGCTGCTGGCGAATCGATCTGCGCATGTGTATAAAATGGTATTTATTTCCGAAAACACTATGACAGTCTACAACAAGCGTCGCCTAAATGTAATAATTAGCACGTTGAAATAGGCTAGTAAATAAGTTTAACTGGGTTCGTAAATAATATTGGCCTCAAAATATTGTGGCTGAGACATGAGCCGATTAAACGTAGAATTAGGAAACCTAGAAATATAGTAAAAATGTTGAATAGTACTCCAGCGTCGCAACATGCTGACGTTGGTACGAGTAGGTTAGTCTACAAACGTCGCCTAAAGCAATTGATTTTACCCGGCAGAACGAAAGAAGGAAACTCTGCTTTTCAGTTGTCTTAGGCGATTGTTTTTTTGACAAACAATGGCCTTTCAGAGGTCAAATTGCTGTCAAGAATATGAATTGGCTGCTTCGCAGCAAATACAAACAAAAAAATAATTATAAAAATTAGGGTTTCCTTTGTCAGATAAAAGAAAAAAACAAAAACAAACAAAATTAAAGGAAAATAGAGAACACCCCCACCCTGTCTCTTATACACATCTAGATGTGTATAAGAAATAGAGAACACCCCCACCCCCACCCACCCCAAAACAATCTGAAGAATGAACTGACTGGATAACACTACGGACAACCTTTGGAACATTATGCTTCAGGCCTGCCAATGCTTTAAAAAGTCATAATGTAATCTGTAATGGTTATTATATTACTGTATATAAGAAATTCCACAAAACTTCCAGTGATTGGTCAGGAGTGTTTTTTCAGCATATGGCAGCACCTCTAACTGCTTAAAAATAGTATCCTCTAGGCGTGGGTTTCAGGGGTGGCCAGGCGAGCCCCGGTCCCCTCATTTGAAAAGTTAAAAAAAAAATAATAAAAGAAAAAGAAAAGGAGGTTATTTTCTAGAAAACTAAAATTTGTGGGCGCATACCCCCGGACCCCCTAGGGTTGTGTTATCTCGATCGGCCCCGCATGCTAACATTTCTCTTGAAATAATATAGAAAGGAAAACACTGACTATCTTCGAACAAACAACAAAGCAACCTCCCAGTCAGCTCCCTCTACAACTTCTCACTTTAAAGTGATTAAAACCACATTTTCCCCTGTTACTATTTCACTCATCATACTTATAATTTCATTTCTTTGCATCTACCTGCATCTGCCACCTAATCACTCAGTCTGGCCAGCTTAGGCCTATTCCTGTTGGGCCTAGTATTTTGCCAAGCCTATTGCCAAGAGCATGCAGTAGCCCTATAGCCTTGGGGTATTCTAATTTTGGCACTGGTTCGAGATCTTCCTTGCTCACGGTTCAGTTGGTAGAAACCTTCTTGAATGAGCACTTACAACCTAAGAGGCTTAGTGTACAAAATAAAGAACTCAGTTCATCTTTTGGAAGAATAGTGGGTCACTCCAATACGTCAGTTAAAATCTGCAATGATAAAGGTAACTTTTACCTGAAGACCAGAGACTCTCATTGTGCAAAGAATCTGTACTAATGAATGCACAAAAATGAAATTGATTTCATCAGCAAACAAATTGCTATGATATTCACAGTTTCAAAAGATCTATAATAAAAAGAAGTACACAAATTTATCACCGGATGCCACTTTTATATCTTATAGAACCTAAACACGTCAAAAGGTAAAGTAATTGGGATGAATACTTTTGTATGAGATTAAGACAGTGAAAAATCAGTCCTCATTGTTACGATAAATTACTATAATATTGTACAAGTTGATCACGAAACTGTAGGAGTGCTCCATGCAGCTGTTCAGTTGTCCATGGTCAGGTTAAGTATTATAGCATTTCCTTATACATACACGGAAATTTGGGAAATTTATCATCATTACGGAAATAGTAGATTAACATGTGAAAATTTTTACTACAGGTATTTCTGAAAAAAACACTTTTTTGCAAATTCAAAATCCAAAGTTATTATGACTTTCTCTCTTGCTGCCATGCCTACGAAAATTTGCAGGAAAATATGAAAAATTCTGATATTTTTACAATTTGAGCCTTGTGTCCAAGGTATCGAACAAATTATCCATGACAGTGTAGTAGTCCATGGTAAGCTGATACTGCACAAGGCTGAGTTGTCCGTTACTAACGTCAAGGTATACCAACTATAACATTAAAGAATACATACCAGTAAGTCTAGGTCGTCAAACTCATCTCCTATAGAATCTAAATTATCATGGATCACACTCAAGCACCGTTGTCTGAAATCCTGGCTGTAATAATCCTCTTCATCTTCCTTATGTTCTTGTGATACCATAATGCTTGGTTTCTCTTCATTTATCTCCATTTTGAGGTAAATATCCACAGTATAATGGTATTGAATACCAGGAAGTATTTTAAACAATAAGTGATAGAGATAGCACAAGCACAATACAGTAATGTGCTTTGCTTCTAGTTTCATAATGGAAACCAAAAAAATTAAAGTCACCCAATGTTTGATCTTTTCATCAATGTGCAAAACAGGAAACCGAGATTTAATATCAACTTATTATCAAAACAAACTGATATGTGGTTTTGTAAATAGAAAACTTCAAAAATGCTATCACAATTAGTGTTGAATTATTAATACATAATCATTTTAAAGGTAAATGCTGATTACTAGAAAATACAGTAAAATAACCTGTTTAGGCCTATTGGACATCAATAATAAAACATGTCATTATATATGAATAAGATACCTTTTAAGAGTTTTCATATTTTCCAAGGAGCTCTAAGCAAGATTGTGGTGCTCTAACTGTCTCTTATACACATCTAGATGTGTATAAGAGACAGATATACATACCAGTAAGTCTAGGTCGTCAAACTCATCTCCTATAGAATCTAAATTATCATGGATCACACTCAAGCACCGTTGTCTGAAATCCTGGCTGTAATAATCCTCTTCATCTTCCTTATGTTCTTGTGATACCATAATGCTTGGTTTCTCTTCATTTATCTCCATTTTGAGGTAAATATCCACAGTATAATGGTATTGAATACCAGGAAGTATTTTAAACAATAAGTGATAGAGATAGCACAAGCACAATACAGTAATGTGCTTTGCTTCTAGTTTCATAATGGAAACCAAAAAAATTAAAGCCACCCAATGTTTGATCTTTTCATCAATGTGCAAAACAGGAAACCGAGATTTAATATCAAGTTATTAACAAAACAAACTGATGTGTGGTTTTGTAAATAGAAAACTTCAAAAATGCTATCACAATTAGTGTTGAATTATTAATACATAATCATTTTAAAGGCAAATGCTGATTACTAGAAAATACAGTAAAATAACCTGTTTAGGCCTATTGGACATCAATAATAAAACATGTCATTATATATAAATAAGATACCTTTTAAGAGTTTTCATATTTTCCAAGGAGCTCTAAGCAAGATTGTGGTGCTCTAATGCTAGTGGAAGCTTAAGAGATCCATCCATTTTTTGAAAAGGCAATTTTAGTTATAGAAACATGACAGTTCAATGTACTTACATGTTACACTAACTCTTATGTTAATGATGATCACTTAGTACAAGAGTAGAAACTTGTGATTGATTGTTTAGTAAGATTAGTAGTGAAGCAGCTATATATATATATATATACACAATACATGGTGCATTAACATAGTGACAAAACTAAAGTAGTAACAAACAAAACTGCACCTCCACCAAAAATATAATAGTACAGTAAAGTATAAAGCAGGAGGATTAAGAAGCACATGAAATGAAGCCTACAGAGTTTGAAAGAGGTAGATACTACAGACAGCTAATAACAAACACACCAACAGACAAGACAACAAAACAAAATATCAAGTACTCATCATATCTTACTTTTGCAGGAAAGGGAGCAGAAATACTAACAAATTCATTTTCTGGGATGCCACCAGGAAGAGTCTTACTCCGCCGTGAATCTCTTTGCACGTACACAGATTTCGCTTTTAAACTACGGTCGCCAGACGCCCGCTTGCTGCGAGTACGCCTCGGTCCAAGATCGTCCAGGTTTTCTGACAATCGTCTAGATGGCAGCTTTAAGAAAAATAGGGGAAGTGCTTTATGCAATTACTGCCTTGAAAAAACTACTTTCATAAAGTTTTTGAGAGACAGAATTACTACTTTGTTATTACAGTTCTATAACCTGGTATTATTTTTTTTTCCAAATTAAAAAAGGGGAAAGGGAAGAATTGGTATAAAAAAAAAGAAAAAAGAAAAGAATACAAAATTTTGGGAAATGATAAAAAACAAAGAAGAAAATGATTTAGAATTGCAAGAATTTAAATAATTGATTATACATTTCATAAACTAAATAGAGGCACATGAAGCAGTTTTCCTAGACTAAACTGCTGATGACAGCTTTCCATAGACTCTGGTAGCTATATATCATGTTTGGTCTTGCTACTTTGCAACAACTTAATAGTGCATAATGATGGTGTTTACCATTTACTGTGCTAATACTGGATTTATAATGCATTTAGATCAGTTTTTTTAAAGCACTTAAATATTGTTTAAACCATGTAATTTCTATCAAGAGTAATTTAGAAAAATAAACATGATCATCATTTTTAATATTAAATGTCATTTTTTTACATAAAAATATATAATGACTAAAAACATTCTGTAACATTGTTAAATGCTCTTATTTTACAGTTTTTATTGCAAATTGTTTCAGTCAATTGAAAACATTAAAAAGTATTATAAGTTTTCACATAGTGTCAGAGCTTAAACAATTCATTTAAACATCTAGGTAAAATATGTACAACAATAAAAATAATAATAGTAATAAAAAATTCTACTTCACTCTAAGGCCAAACTGAGCCAATTTATACGCAAAACTTAAATGTGTTTTAATCCGCATGGAAACGATCAAACTAATTTTTTTAAATGAAACTAAAAATTCTAATTACTGAATTAACTACTAAGAGTCAACAAAATCAATGTCTTCGAGTTGAGAGAATCTTGACCAAAGTGAAGATATGCCGTATAATTGCTATTAACTGGACGTTGGATTGGTTTGGAATCTTCGTTGAGTGATGTACAAAAACAATTGAAGATATGATATAAGTTTATATACAAAAACACCATACTGTACATCTTTCACAAGAGCAACTAGAGTGATGTTGCTTATTTTTTAAAAGGTTTCAACCACAAGGAATATTAGTCAACAGATAGAGAAGAAAACAGGAAACAATTACACACAAAAAGAATTGGGAAAGACTCAACACCCGAAGTGAGAGCCATTACAAATGAGATTCATGATTACTCACAGCACTGCTAATACATTAAAAAAACATTGAAACCAAGAATATTCCATACCAAAAAAATGTATCCTTTCCTGTAAAGATAGCAACACAATGCAGGATTTGAAGGATGTTATTAGTAATATAATATTTTCCTAAATATGATGATGAGAATAATTCCACAAAAGTATAACAGATAGTCAGTAAAATTTCTCAGAAGCATCCAATACTGCGCCGTTTTTATATGCAGGATACACTTTAACAACAACTAGAGATAAGCTTCATATTGAAAAGTAAATATCAATTTCTTCCTCAACAATAAAGACACAGCAGGTATAAAGAAACACAAAGACTAATAATTCACTTCCGTGTTCCTGGTTTTAAAATGGGCGTCATCATTAATGGGAAACACCGGAGCTAAAGGGATTATCCCTATTAAGGAAATTATCTTTTTAAACATACAAGTATAGTAATCAGAATATAACCGAGGAAAAATAAACCACAAAGTTTACATCCTGTTTTTCTGCAAATAAATTAAAATGTTCCTTCTTTCATAAGTTATAGAGTACTACCTCTTTCTCTTAAACTGTCAAAGCCAATAAATTTTAAGATAATAGGGTAATCAATTAAAATAACATAAAACTAATTAATAATATTCATGTTATGATAGCGCCCTAAACAATTAGAGAAACGATGTCTTAAAATTTATAGCATAATAACTGGAACGAAAAAAATATGTAATAATGCAGATAGATTGGAATCTCTTTGAATAATATATTTTGATGTTTTCAATATAAGTAAATAAGACTATATTATATATCATGGACATTAATTATAAATTATATAAAATATATAATACTTAATAGTATCATGCAATAAATTATTATTCATAATATATTTTTCAATTTTTAAAATAAAATAACAATTTCACAGCAAATTAGCAAAGCTGGCATTCAATTATCTTTAATAACAAAAGGAAAAATGTATGTTTTATTCAATTAATTTTGTTTACACAGCAAAAATATTTACATAAATGTTAATAGAATATGTAATTAAAAAAAAAAATCTTGGCACATAAGCTGGAATCAATAATTGATAAAACTATTATTATTTAATTATAACTGACTTAATAATCAATATTTACATTCACATGTGAAAGGTCTGGAAGCTCCCATTTGGAGGAATGACCATTTTCATTGTAGTAGTAAGATCGTCCATTTTCATCTTTATTCATCCGCCACTGAAATAATAAAATAAATAATGTACACAATAAGATAAATACTAATTAGTCATGGGAACCCCATTATTATATGTTTTTTTTTTTGTACTAGTGTATCTCACAATATGAAGAATAGGGAGCATACCTTGTTTGGGCTTTTGCCCATTCCCTCCCTATCCAGGCAATACTGTACATGTTATTCTATTCTATTCATATTTATTTATATAGCGCCTTTCTTTGCAGATACCAGAGCCACGGGGGGCCGACAGAGCCACGGGGGCCGACAGAGCCACGGGGGGCCGACAGAGCCACGGGGGCCGACAGAGCCACGGGGGGCCGACAGAGCCACGGGGGCCGACAGAGCCACGGGGGGCCGACAGAGCCACGGGGGCCGACAGAGCCACGGGGGGCCGACAGAGCCACGGGGGCCGACAGAGCCACGGGGGCCGACAGAGCCACGGGGGCCGACAGAGCCACGGGGGCCGACAGAGCCACGGGGCCGACAGAGCCACGGGGCCGACAGAGCCACGGGGCCGACAGAGCCACGGGGCCGACAGAGCCACGGGGCCGACAGAGCCACGGGGCCGACAGAGCCATGGTTGACGGCCCGGAATAAGAACTCCCTTATAAGGTTCACGGAGAGTTTTTAAGATTTAGTTTGGTCCAAAATTTGCTTTTATTTTTGACCACAATATTAGGGATTGGCAGTCAAAATAACATTATTTGGATAATCTTTAAAAGCATACTTGATTAATCTGGATCTGAATTCTGACTAACTTTTGATGATTTATAACACAAGCATTTGCCAGCAGTCAATGCAGTCTTCAACAAACACTGCACATAATATACCGCGACACACTTACTTAACAAAACAGCTTAACACGTAATTTATTGAACATTAATACTGTTAGTACAAACAACCATGTTATAGTGATAATGCTAAGGAAGTTATAGCACAGAGAAGTTTAATGAAATGTTGGTATTATAGTGGGATTCTGTATTAAAGTATACCGACCCTTTCAGTAGAGTTTTCATGCGTGTAGTACGGAAGACCTGCGTCATCTTGTCCCTTTTGCCATCCTGGGGGCAGTGTTTGGTCATTCAATAATCCAATCTGTTTAAAAAAGACAAGATAGTACATTATCATTAATTAGAAAAAACATCACCCTCAACCAAAGGAGCTTTTCCTCATTCTCACCATAATGAAGGAATGTTGTGCCAGCAAGTGAAGCATCACTTCACTGTTCACATAATTTCCATTAGTTTCAATAATATTTGGAACAGTTTTATGTAATTTCAAATACACATTTTTTTTTCAATACAGAATATTATGGTTATAACATCCTCAATCAATAGCAAACCAAACACACCATAGGAAGTGCACCTACCAATGTATTTCACAGAGGAAACCCAAATTAATGTACCAAACAATGTCCTCAATCACTTTTAAACAACAGACTGCAGGCCTATCTTTAATCAGAGAGCACCCAAATCAATAAGCCAATTCAGAGTTTTAACTGCACATGCCGGTATCCAAGGTGAATCAACATAAACCTATGTTGTGTGAATTGTGTGTACGTCTGTTTATTTTAACTGACCTTGATACGGGCATGCGCAGTTCAAACTGTGAATGACTTATAGCATACCAAACAGCGTCCTCTATCATTAATAAACAACACACTAAAGGAAGCAGTCCATAATGCATTATCAAACATTTTATGAGAGGATCTAGTTAATGTTAGTATAGGTTTAGAAGGATTTGAAAGGTTTGAAATGTAGTTAATACAATTAGTTCACAATTAACTAACAGGCATTGAAGACGAAAAAGACAAAAGTCATTCAATTACAAAACAGTACAGAGTACTTGTCTTCTTTTACAATTCATTACTTCTTATTATTTATACCATTATTCCATGTTTCCAGAGCCTACCTGTATTACCGGATAAAATATTTAAAAAAAACAACTATTTCAGTTTTTTCTCTGTGTAAGCAGCAGTGGGTATCTAGGGGATTTAAATGCATGAAAATTTTCGCGAAGTCATAGAGTTTGAGAACTCTATATCAAAGAAGACGTTTAAGAAATTTCACTGTTAGCAGGAGTATTTTGGTGTTGCACGAAATGCTGCCACCTAGGGGCCTACAGATGTTGATATACAGGATACCAATATCGTGACAAGACATAACCCTGTTGTTTATCATGGCCTACTGTAAAGTTGTCAAAATTCCCTCTGTAACTTCAGTCACTGTATGTTTAGACATAATAATAATAATAATAATAATAATATATTTCAAATTGAATTTGACTGCAGCTGGAATTTGGATGAAACGATACATGTCATTTACATATATGCCTAGTTATTAGTATTCCAAATCTTCACAGCTTTTCCTTCTCCTGATTACACCAAACCCTGTAAAAGTTTAGTACCAATTTTCATAAAATGTGCAAAAATTAGTAAAGTTTTGATCAAATCATAAGGGTGATGGTACAGTATATACACTGAGCCCTTCAAATGTTACTCCTCCATCGCTGATTATATTAACGTATGATTCTTGATTGAATTTAGATCTTTGTAAGCTGGGCTCTTGTAAACAGCTTATCCATGTTGTATGTGACCTAGCTACTCTGTTTAACAAAGTGCAACATACTGTAAATTTTATTTTGAACTTCAAAACAGCATTGATAAAAACACCTGCAAGGATCAAGTTTACTATTGTATGTCTCAAAACGACATTATTATAAATCCATGTTGAGGAAATAGCTGATATAGGATAAAAATAACCTCAAAGTATTACCCTGTTTACTGTACTAAATAAATTAATCTATAATTTTCTTAAGGTTTATATTATATTTAAACAACAGGTTAATTTGTCAGCCTGTGATAATCAATCGATCAATCAATCAATAACATAATACTCCTGGTGATGATTTACATTATTATTTAATATCTAAATTACATATTTTATCGATATTTTATACAATAGTTCTTAATCTTGGTGATAACATAAGGTCTCAGCAAAGTGGTGAGCTGTTTTTGCTAGTAAAATAATTTCAGATGTACTATAAAGGAAAAAAAATACAATAATTCTGAAGTAAAAGGAGATAAATTACAATAAAATAAAATACAGTACAGGCCTATGATCCAGCAGAATAGTAAAAATCTAAATACAGGACGGTATCAGTTGTATAGAAATAGTGGAATCTGTATTACTGTATATAGCATGCACAGATCCAGTAGGGACAACACCCCCTCCCCACACTGCCCTTTTGCCACTTAATTTCAAAATTTCAATGCATATCAATGTTATGTATAGAATACGGTAAGCGCTACTCGCTTCTGAAAATGTTGTGTGTCCCCTCCCCCGTTTGAAAAATTCTGGATCTGCCCCTGTGTACATCAATATATACGTAATTTGCCTGCAGTACAGTAGTATTGTACTGTATCATGTCCTATTATTAATGAGGACAACAATTTAACGATTCTTGCTCTCATGCCATAATCCTATTCTCTTTTCTGGATTCATCAGTAAGGTTAGTCTACAGTAAGTATGGTAGACTATGGAGAATGGGTAAAGTAAATACAATACTTATCACTCAATATTAAAGTTTGTGTATAGGAATTTACAATCTTCCTAACTTAGGTACTACTATTGATCCAACCACATGACCTGTTGTTACACAGTGTTTTCTTTTGCTGAATAACATCTTACGAATGACCAAGTAGAATGAAAAGTTGTGTTAAAGTCTTCTGCATTGTTTGATTCTTTAGCCAGTAAATTTGAAAGAACATTGTATTAAATAACATTAAACTTCCTCCTTTACTTGTCTATGGTTGAAAATGTACAGTAACTCTACAAACATGCAAAATATTAACAACCTATACAATTTATATGTAGGCTTATATTCTATTTTTATGGATATGAATTCTGAAATGGAAATGGAAAAACGAAAATAGCACCCAGTTGAGTATCCAATATAATACACAGTTTTGTATTATAAGTACTACAGGCCTACTCAAGTACTGTATAAACAATATCATACCAGAAAATTGGATTCAATATCTAGGACCCTAGACAAAAAGATAAGCATATTACCTTTTAATTTTACTAGACTGTGCTTTATTTTGAAGTTATTGATAAAAGTAAAAAACTAATTGTACATATTGAATTTATCTAAAAATAGGAAAATTAATTTTTTTAAATACCAAAAATACACTTTTCCTCATGCAGGAAAGGTGAGGCAAATCATAAGAAACCACATTTATATCATCTCAGATGAGTTAACATCATGCAGCTTTCAATTCGTCATGCACTGTTATCAATCTAGTTGATCATGCATGCACAAAAATCAAATTTTTCAATAACCATTTCATCCAGAAAAAAAGTAAAATGCATTTTTATGTTTAAAAAAACAGAAAATCCAAAAGCACTTGTAAAATCATTCACAAAATCAGTTATTTTCTCTTTTTTGCAAAATTTATTTGTAAAATTGGGAGACCACATGCCTATTGGTGCTTCTACCTCTATGTATCTTTGCCTGAAGCTGTATGCTCGTCTACCATTGCCATAATATGCACGACCTCGCTGAGGTCTCCCTGACACAAACTGCCGATTGATTCTAATCTGAAGATTAAATGATATGGTTCGAAATCCAGATTGTTTACAATACATGCAACATGAACAAGGTTTACCTCTTATTAGCTCACCCTATTTATGCAAATAAGCTATGCAAATTATGATTGAATTATGTATGGATCATAACATATCAGAATAGAGTAATGTTGATATGAAAAACAATGTAATTTTACTATTCTATAGATAAATTTGATGAAACAAAGTATGGTATTACCAATGTTTAAAAAAAAAGGAAAAAATAATAATAAACAACTAATGGTGGCAATTTTAAATTATTATACATAATATAGATGATGAGAGTGAATAATACTACAGTAGAACCTCGATTTTACGTACGGTACGGGACCAGAGGGCGTACGTAAATCGGGGGATTCGTAAAATAGTGGTTGGGTTAAATTTGTGGTAACCTTTGACCTAATACGTACGTAACGCTCAATAAACGTATGTACGAACGAACGATGATACCTAGGCTAGACCTAGCCTCTAGGCCTACAAATAAAGCCATGTGTTTAGTGTTCCTATTCATCACTTTACGATGTCATAATAAAGTGTTCAAATAAAACCATGTGTCTAGTGTATTAATTCATCACTTTATATCTTTTATTTAACTAAAATAAAGAACATGAAAATATTGTAAGATTACCTATACGACAAAGGTATAACTTGGGAATTCCCCTTCATGCCTTTTCTAAACAACAGAGATGTAGTGTTGTCTGGGCCTGTTGAGACAAACTAAACCCATGTGCGCTGCACTGAGCGAGCCAACCAATTAGTGTTCGTGTATGTGAAACAGCAACCATGTGCTATGCACTGGGCGAGCCAACTAATTAGCGTTCGTGTACGAAACTATGTCTACTCAGCTTCGTGTAGAAAATTCGACCAGACGAGTTCTTCCATGGTTTGCCACACGAAGCTAAGGAGGAAAGCAATAATTTTGAGCACCATCGGTAGTTTGTCTCTTATACACATCTAGATGTGTATAAGAGACAGCTCCTAAACATGCCATTGTCTTTAGGCCACTTTATGTCTCCAAAGCCTCTTTATTGAGGACAATTTATAGGTGACACCATATACAGTACCATGTAAGCAAGCTATATACTCTATAGCCACCGAAAATACAGCTTCAATCCCCTGAAATAAGTAAAGAAATTAAAAGGAAATCATATTTTAATCATAATGCCATATTTATGTTCCAATTTTATAAATGAGGATGGGCCATCCACTTATATTTATGGCATGATTTTTCATATATAGAATTTTTTCCACATTTATAACAGTAAAATAAGAAATGTAAAATTTAGTAATGGAAAAGTCAAAATCGATATTATTTTCATATGAATGAAAAAATGATTTAATTTCATTTCTGTCATCATAGTAATGGTAATAAAAAAAAAATATGGGATTTGAAAAACGGTAATAAAATGTCATAATGTGTAAGATAATATTTGCATAAACATATAGTAAACTTATGAATGAAATAATTATTTCACTAATTATTCACTACTGTGTTTTAAGCCATGGAATTTTAAAAATGGCAATAAAGAATGCCCTTGGAATATATGTAATATGGGAATGGAAATATTCATGGAATTTGAAAACAACTGCAATGGAATTTCAAGCTGTTTGTACTATTTTCCAGGTTCGATTATGCAATTACAGGGTCGTTAATGTCTTAGGTACTTGGTATAACTTGGGAATTCCCCTTCATGCCTTTTCTAAACAACAGAGATGTAGTGTTGTCTGGGCCTGTTGAGACAAACTAAACCCATGTGCGCTGCACTGAGCGAGCCAACCAATTAGTGTTCGTGTACATGAAACAGCAACCATGTGCTATGCACTGGGCGAGCCAACTAATTAGCGTTTGTGTACGAAACTATGTCTACTCAGCTTCGTGTAGAAAATTCGACCAGACGAGTTCTTCCATGGTTTGCCACACGAAGCTAAGGAGGAAAGCAATAATTTTGAGCACCATCGGTAGTTGTTCATCTCACACAGTTCACGTGGTTTTGGATTATAACAACCCGGTATTAGACTCAATCAACGTTGCTGTTTAATGAAAATACGTTGCATTATGGTTTGTTTATTGTTATAGTTTATTGTTATATTCTTTTTACTTATGGTTGCTCTCAAAAGGGCTGATTGTAGGGCCGTTTGTTTTGAATATTTTCGGGGTTTTTGATGACGTCATCGTCCATACGAGGCGTACGTAAAACAGAGGGTTCGTATAACTGGGGTACGTAAAAACGAGGTTCTACTGTATAACAAACTGTACTATACGCAGTTGCTAAGAAGGAACAAATCATTCAATAAAAACAAACCACAAGGAAAATCTGTTGGTAATTGTGTCTGTATTGTTGTTGTTGCCTGTTGCTAGTGCAAGAGCACATTTGGCCATAACACAGGTAACAGCCATCAAGATAAATCACAGTTGTTAAAAACAGACTGCATTTAAAAAATAACTTACACATAGTCATAAAAAAACAGATGAAAAATAGCATTCATCAATAAAACAAACAATAAAAGGATATAGCAACAATAAACAAATAAATACAGACACATTTGTTGAAAACACAAATAGCATTCATCAACAAAACAAAAAATAAATGCAACAATGGCAACAAAAATAAATACAGACACAGTTGCTTACAACAAAAACAGCATTCATCAACAAAACAAAAAACATAAAAGTAGCAACAGCAACAGACACAGTAACTGTTGTTGACAATGAAAACATCATTCATAACCAAACAATAAAACAATAGATTCAAAACAATTTAAAGTAGTGAATGTAATACATACTGCTGGAGCTGAATATTCAGGTGATGCTGCCGGACGGACTTTAGCAGGTGAAGTGCCACTCGGATGAAAAGTTGAGAAAGATTTACTGGGTTGTGAACTAGAGTCTACTGGAAATCTTGGAATAAATGAATTCTACAAGAAAAAACAAGAACAGATTTCAATTGCATTTTCTACAGTATTTTGTAACTTCCCATTAAAACAGAACAAAACAACAAAATAATACTGTAAATTTCCACAAAAGAGCCAACCATGCATTTCTCAAGATTATCTATTAAAAATATTATAATTTAACAAATACATAACACTGAACATTATATTACAACTAACTATTTAATACTATAATTAAGTTTGACCTATTAATATGAATGGTGGCTTCATTAAACCCGTCTGACCTTGTCTTAATGAGACAGATGATTCATAGAATAGTGGGAGTATTCCTCAAAAAACAGACAAATAAATAGAGTAAAAAAGTAAAATTAGGTTACATATTTTACAGCACATAATATGTGTTTTATACATTGTATGTAAACATATACACACACACAAAACAAAACAAAACAAACATAACAAGAATTGATCAGATTACTGAAAGACTTTATGTGAACTCTGAACTCTACTATAATAGATATTTTCAATGATTTGTTTTATAATAAAAAATATATACTGTACACTACAAAATATTAAATTTTGTACAGGAAATTTTAAAATAAAATTGATAAAAACTGCTCTATTGACAATATAAATATCTTGTACCTCATTCTTTTAAATCTGAAACATTCAAAATTAATTCCATACTCCATGATCTTTCTTTGGGAATACTGTAAAGTACATGCCCCATATTAAAAAAAAATTCTGGATTTAAAGGTGCTTTACCATTTAGTTGGAAACAGCACATTTGTGAAAATGACACAGTATGAATTTATTACAAGTGCAAAATATTTGCATAATAATTGATCGTATAGTTTATTAAAAGACAGTTGTTTAATCAGAATTAAGTGGTTAACAAACATAACAAGAATTGATCAGATTACTGAAAGGCTTTATGTGAACTCTGAACTCTACTATAATAGAAATTTTCAATGATTTGTTTTATAATAAAAAATATATACTGTACACTACAAAATATTAAATTTTGTACAGGAAATTCTCTATATATAACTGCAAATACTATATTTGCATATTACTACATTTATCCTCATCTATCAATCTCAGATGTGTATAAGAGACAGATATTTTACAGCACATAATATGTGTTTTATACATTGTATGTAAACATATACACACACACAAAACAAAACAAAACAAACATAACAAGAATTGATCAGATTACTGAAAGGCTTTATGTGAACTCTGAACTCTACTATAATAGATATTTTCAATGATTTGTTTTATAATAAAAAATATATACTGTACACTACAAAATATTAAATTTTGTACAGGAAATTTTAAAATAAAATTGATAAAAACTGCTCTATTGACAATATAAATATCTTGTACCTCATTCTTTTAAATCTGAAACATTCAAAATTAATTCCATACTCCATGATCTTTCTTTGGGAATACTGTAAAGTACATGCCCCATATTAAAAAAAATTCAGGATTTAAAGGTGCTTTACCATTTAGTTGGAAACAGCACATTTGTGAAAATGACACAGTATGAATTTATTACAAGTGCAAAATATTTGCATAATAATTGATCGTATAGTTTATTAGAAGACAGTTGTTTAATCAGAATTAAGTGGTTAACAAACATAACAAGAATTGATCAGATTACTGAAAGGCTTTATGTGAACTCTGAACTCTACTATAATAGAAATTTTCAATGATTTGTTTTATAATAAAAAATATATACTGTACACTACAAAATATTAAATTTTGTACAGGAAATTTTAAAATAAAATTGATAAAAACTGCTCTATTGACAATATAAATATCTTGTACCTCATTCTTTTAAATCTGAAACATTCAAAATTAATTCCATACTCCATGATCTTTCTTTGAGAATACTGTAAAGTACATGCCCCATATTTAAAAAAAATTCAGGATTTAAAGGTGCTTTACCATTTAGTTGGAAACAGCACATTTGTGAAAATGACACAGTATAAATTTATTACAAGTGCAAAATATTTGCATAATAATTGATCGTATAGTTTATTAGAAGACAGTTGCTTAATCAGAATTAAGTGGTTGTGTCATACTGCACCAAAGGTTAGTCTTGGACACCTACACATCAGAATGACCTAATAGTCATTTTAATTTTATGGGAGAAGAGGATATACTGTACAGTAGAACCTTATAACAGAGTGGAAGGAAGAAGAAAAGGGAGGAAAAATAAAAGGAAAAAATGAAAGAAAAATATTAGAGAATAGAAGAAGACAGGAAATGACAAAAGGAAGGAGGAAAGAGAAAAGAACAATAAGAAGAGGAAAGAGAGGAAAAAGGATAAAATATGAGAGAAGTTCCTACAAAACACCAAATCAGAGACAGGACCTATATTAATAATAGGAAAAATACTCAGCTCTTATAATATGGCTAACACAAGCAAAGCTCTTACAACGTCGCTAACACAAACCCATGGTTAACACGAACACAGCTCTTATAACATGGCTAACACAAATAGAAGAGAAGACATGAGGGGAGGAAGGAAGGAAAGAGAAAAAAAGAGAAAGCAAAAATAAGGAGAAAATGAAAGAGACAAAAAGAAGGGAATTATATAGAGGGAAACAAGATTATCTGTATCTGCTGACATTGTTATTAAGGAGTCAACAAAAGTATGATGTGCATAAATTTAACAGAAAGTGAGAGCAGTAGCTTGTGCAGCAGTTGTACTTCAGTCTCACAGTCAATGGTTTGATTCTCACTTGTTTGTAGCCATTTACAGTAGTAATAAACCCATGCTTTCCTCTAGTACAGTGATTTTACCCATTTTACGCAAAAAAAAAAAGAAAAATCTGGACCTATTTTCTTAAAATTTTACCCATTTTACGCTAAATATGAGAAATCTAGGCCTCATTTCAATAAGTAGATCCATTTTATGCATGAAATTGCATAATTTTGACCCATTTTTCAAAATGTGGACCCATTAGAAAAATTGTGTGGGACTGTCCCAACAGCTGGCTACGGCATTGGCGCTGACCACTAGCCACTCTAAGGATTCCATTAGCATGTTTCGATGTACTGTAACCGGGGTAGCAATTTAAAGTGCCCGAGGCCTTTTCAATATGTGCACATAGTGCAGCCGTTTCATGGTAAAACAAAGTAAATTCTTTCATATTTTTGTTACGTTGTTTTGCCTTGGAAAGGCCGAGTGGCATTATTATTATTATTATTATACATGGTTACTGCGACATACCCATTGAAGATTTTGTCACCTTTAATTCTCCTACCGAAGGTTGTCGAATAACTAGATCTGCCTCTGACCAGCATGTTCTCGTGCCTGTTAAGTGTAACACTGAATCCCATAAACGATCGTTTTTTCAGAGAATTATCCCCATATGGAATCAGCTACCATACTATATTAGGTCTACAACATATATTCCATTTTCAAGAGGCACGTCCGTAACTTCTATAACAACAAATTTATCAACAATTTTGATCCCGCTGACACTTGCACGTGGGTCTCTTGTTGCCGCTGTGCGCTGTGCAGAAATTGCTGAGAGTGTGTCATGCCAAAACGTTGAAGTCTTCTGTGCAATCATTTAATGTATTTTTAAATAATTTCTGAATTACAATGTATGCAATATCTTTGTCATTTAATTTTTTAATTATGGAGTAATTTTGTTTTGAAATTTTTAAATTGTATTCATCCTGTTTAACTTTTTTGTGCAATATTTTGATGTTCTGGTTTAAATTTATTTTAATTCGATTTTTGTAAATTTTTTTGTTATTATTCTTCTGAGTGTCCTATTCTTTTATCAGCCTTTGCAAATAAACATTTAAATTAACAAATAATTAATAAATTTTAATGTATATTATACAATTCTATCTTTGTAAATAAATTAAAAATTAATGATAATTAATAATTTAAGCTATATTTTGTACTGTATGTTTAAATTTGTATTTTTACTATTTTACTATTTTAATGTTCTGTATTTTCGCCTGTTCTCTTGTATAATTTGTGTGGTTCTGTAATCTGTTCAAGGGGGGATGTAGATAGAGGTGCTTGACACCTGTTCATCCCCTCCTTTTCGCTGCTTTTTGTCTTGTTTTTGAATTGTTCTTGTATTTTTGCAGTGATGAAGTGTAATAAATAAATAAATTATTATTATTATCGTTATTACTATACTGTGTATGCACAAATTCCTTAAAATCTCTTTCCTCAAGGAAAAAACCTCTAAAAAAATTGGAACAACGAGTTCCTATTTAATAGTGTATATCTTGGTTTACAATCAGCTTGCATCCGAGTTCAAAATTCTTAGAAATGTCCTTAATAAATAGATTAGAGATGTGCGTGTCCTGTACTTCTTCAGTGAATATTTTAACCCCAGCTTGAATGACTCTAATATTTTTGCTACCTTAGTTTAAAATGAGTTCTTCCATAAAGACCAAAAAAAGAATTGTAAAAAGTATTAAGGTTTAACCCACCTTGTTGCTTGGAGAGAAGCTTTCAAAGATATTGAAATAAATTTCAGAATGTTTTGTACAGGTATCCTCCATGAGCTATGTTAAAACTGTACGCTAAATAGCTGATAGAGAGTTGCACAGTCCGTCACTGCTCTTTAGTCTACAATATACTTGTTGATTCTCATACTTATCACATATTTTCTTCAGAAGCACAATGTCCTTGCTGTTGATCTGTTGTTTGTATACTACACTGTTGTTTGTATAAAAACATAGGTACTGTATAGTAAATAAATACTGACCTTACCATGAAATAGTAAGGTTATTGCAAAGAAAACTAAATCAATAACCAATATAACTGCAAATACTATATTTGCATATTACTACATTTATCCTCATCTATCAATCTCCATACTGTACAAGGGGCCCATTCGGACGAGTAAAGTTTTACCGGGTACTTCCAACTGACAGGCCACGTGGGGCAATTTAATTTTGCCTCTAGCCATAAAAAATTTGAAAAACATCTGTCCCAAAAACCCATCTTTTTTAGTGGATATTTCAATTACACGCTC